CTACTAGGAACTGTGTCTTTTTTTTTCCAATGCCCACCTGGAGAATGACCTAGGTCATGCAGGCATCTGAAGGGCAGATTTGTTGGCTACTCTTTCATGGGTACCATATTAGGTGGGCCAACGTTGCTCCCCCAGTAAGGACAGATAGTACAGAGAAGGAAAGAACATCCATGCCTTGCCCGGGATTCGAACCCAGAACCTTTCTAATGCAAGGGCAGTTCCCTAACCCCTACACAGGCCGGTCGGCAGTAACTCTGTCTTACGATCACTGTTTGTTGTGGTACATCATTTGTATCACAACTCAATGTTATTAGCATGCAGGTGATTACATATTTCAACAATTTGAGACACAAACCTAAAATAATTATGTCTTCCCGTACAAAATTGGAAGCGTGATCCAAAGTGTTCAGTGACTTCGGAAGCGTTCATTAACTTTGGAGCACGAACCTGCGACATTATCAGAGACCAGGGAGGGACCTTAGTCTCTCGGCCATTTTAGCCTAATAATTTTTCTCGGTACTAGAGGGATCATGATAATACGAAACTGACGAAAGCCATGATCTGTAATGTGTCAAAGGATCGTAAGACAGCCATGAGATCTGTTATGAAAAATTAAGGCCGGTATTATTATGAAGATTCGTGAAACGAAAATAAAGTGCCTGAAATTTTAATTGTTTAAAATAAACTTTAGATAATTTTTTAAGGTAAGAATTTATTTTCTACTTTTAAAATATGCCTATGCTTATTTTAATAAACATTTTAATTTTCGGTGCTAAGTTAAATCTTTTCTATGGATACTTCTTACCCTATTTTAAGAAATGAATTTTAAATACAACTGGTAGAAACATCTTTAAAAAATGCAATACTTAAGTTTTGTTTTAATGATGAGTTCCTTTTGTCAATAGAAAGATTTATCTAAGAAATTTTAAAATTGAAAAACTGAAAAAGTGAAAAAGTAAAATGTTTCATTAATCAAATATATCTTGTTCAAGTTCAAAGTAAAATGTGTCTTGATGTTAAGAATGGTTCTTACATGCGTCATAAATTAGTTTTTTTTTTTAAATTAGGATTTTCCTCTATTTTACAATCGTTTTTATTTGAACTATGTAACTTTTTCCAAGGTTTTGAATAAAAGTTAATATGTAAAAAATGATAAACTTAATGATAAGCTGTTAATCGTTACAGGAGCGTCTATATACTTACACATGTTAATTTTATGGTTACACTAGATCTGGAGGAGCAGCTATCCATAAAATAAATTTGAATATGATTTTGTGCTGTTTTTAAATATTGTATTATAAAGCATTAACTTGTCTTAATGAAATATAATTGGAAATATTTAGCTATAACTAAAGTATTATCTTTTAAGTACTTCTTTAAAAAAGCAGAGCGAGAAACGTTGAAAACAAAACGTTGCAATCATAATTCTGAATATGATTGCAAGGGGACTTAGTAGATAAATTGAAACGCCATTGTAATTTTTTTAATATGAAGGAATTCAAAAGTACATATAAGAAGTTGGAAAATTAATATCTTTTTTACATTCTGGCATGCATTTATATAACTGCCGATATTTGACAATTATTTCTTGAGATCTAATCATTTTGAAATTATTTAATTTTCTTTTTACTCAAGGAGCTGATGCAATTTTTAATTCATTCAGCTCCGTCTTCAAGTTCAGTCGTTTTTGCAATTTGTTCAAAATTTTCACAATTAAAGAAATAAAAATTTTTTTAAATATATTTATTCAAATATACCTTTATTGAAATTTAGCTAAACCATTTTAAGAAGAAATCTGGATATCAGGATTCAAGCAGAGAATGTTATTAAAAAAATGATTGATTATTCATAAACTGGAAAACTATTAAAACTCTAAGTTTGCACATCTATTTATGTAAATTTTCATCTAAGATAAATTTGCGTTCGGAACTTATAAACAAAATGAATTTATTAATAACATATTTTTAATATAATAATTATTTCAAATCAAGCATTCAAGCAATAATTCATAGGTTCAAAAATGTGATAAATTAAGTTTGTAATAAGTAATAATTGAAATAATTGTCATAATATCCATTTCATCAATATTTTCCTATTATAAATATCCATCTAAATTTTCATAAGATCAAAAATCTCTTTTCTCTTATTTTTCTATCGAAAGCGATAAAAAAAAAAGTTTCGCAAATCGGAGTTTGAATCAAAAACAGTTTTGACACAGACGCCTGAAAATATTTCTACAACTCAAACTTCTAAGCTCAGATTGGAAAGGCCTTCAAATTTCATGTGGCAATCAGGCTAGTTTTGTTCCATGTTCCTCAAAGTGATTTCTCAAATCTAACAAAATACTTCTTGTTTAAATTTTAAATTGTGATCCCTAACATACTGTACAAATACTTCTAACATGCTTCTAAACATACTTTTCAAATTACTTTTTTTTAAAAACAGAACACTCTGACACGCAAAAAGGAAATTTATTAACTTTTGTAGTTTTAAGTTAAATATTAAAATAAAAAATACAATAACCAGTACTTTCCACTTGCCGTATATAATCTCCAAATAGTTCATAGTTTCATTTAATAGTGGTCTACAATTTCGTTGAAATAATTGATTTCCTTGATTACCAGTAATCGAGATAATGGATAATTATGAGCCTAAATGAGCCTTTCTAATTGCAATAATTAAAATGAAATCGCATATTCCTGAGTAAAATCTGATTATTTCCGTTAGAAATGCTTTCCAATTGAAAGATTGTTTAGAAACAAAAAAGGATTGTCCGTGAAGTATGAAAATGTTGGAAAACTTAATCTAAGTAAAATTAAAGCACAGTCTTTTAGCTTTTTACTTGAGTTTCTTTAGGTATTCCGCCATTTTCATATTTGTCGAACACTCAGTACAGTACCCAGGGTACCAGTGGTTTCACAAAATTGTAATAGTATTAACTTATCATCAAAGCAGTGAAAATTCACCTAGTTCAGCAACCATGTAAACGATGCAAATTTTCACCTCAGCCGTAACATAACTCTTTGTATGTATTTGAGTTATCGAACAAATAAGGATAATCGGAAACGTTGCATGCTAACTTCCTAGAAATATGAAATAAATTTTCAACCACTATAATAATTTTTAGGGCCGAGCAAGTCTTGCTGGTAGGGCGTTGGGGCCATGTCCGAGAGGTAGTGAGTTCGAATCCTACCTGGAGAAGAATTCCCGTGTTCAAAATGGTGACTGGTTTGCGCTAAATCAATCTGGATCACAAAGTCCTCCAAGTTTCCATAACGAATACCTCTGGGGGTACTAGATCGGAAAATCTTCGCGCTCAAGTTGAGATCAAAATTAAGATATGTGGGTGGATAATTAGAGTAAACATAACATAAACATCCCTGCTAAACAAGATCTGACGTATGCCTATTCTCTCTGTATGATCCCTTGGAATGTTTCCCGGACAGTCACCGACAGCCCATTCTGTACGTCCAGAGCTACGTAAATACAGTTCCAAAGTACCACGTACCTACAAATAGAAATAGTAGTACTTTCTAATACTTGTGAAGGAACAGAATAATTTTGAAGGAATTCGGAACCCTTCAGAGAATCACCCATTTCAGATTAATTGATCTATAAATAATGCTTCAAATACATCTAATAAAATTTAGTAGGCATATTTCAGGCAATTCAGGTAAATGAGCTTTTGTAGAATGGTCAGACCATTCCACGAAATCTGTCTTTAAAATTACAGGCGTAAATAAATAACATTTTCTTTAAGCTCGTTTCTTCAGGAAAATTTAAACGATAGTTCTTATCGAAATTTTTTTCTTGACGAACGAGGATTTTTTTCTTAACAGTGGTAAAAAGTTTGTCTTGTAGAAAACATATTTCTTCTGCAGAAATTGGTGTAACTCATTGTTCGAAACAGTAGTAGCTTAGGAGATAGAGCGTTCACCTCCAGATGAGGTTTGAATCCCAGAGGTGGCTGGTTGATATGAATTCTACTCCCATCTCGTAACAACCGCAGTGATAACGTAAAATATCCTCAGGGGAAGGCGGACCATGAGTTAGATTTCGTTACCGTCTCGCTAATCACGGGGGGTTTTCCTGGTTTTCTTCCCCGTGTAACGGAAATGTGGGTTAGTTCCATCCAAAAAGTCCTATATTGAGGATAGTTTGTACTTTATCCAGGTTATTAATACTTAATCCAGGAAAATGCAACTTATTTTATGTCATTTATTGATTTTTTTCAAAACATCGCTGAACTGTAAAAAATAATTATTTCTAAAACTCCCACGTGCAACGAAAGTACATCAATGCAATTTAAAAAGGTTGAAACAGAATGAAATTTGAACAATTTTTTTAACTTATTGAGTACAGCAAGCTTTTGATAATTCAAAAGTAGGTTGTAAGCAATATTTTACATAAGCGCTTGTTTTTTAAATTGTATTTTGTAACATGATAAAAATACAAATTAAAATATGGACAATAAGATTAAAAAAAAAAATCAAGCGTATCACAATCGTTCAAAATTCACTAAAAATCCTTTTTAACAGGCTTCTAATGTGTTGTTCCTTCATAAAAGCATAATTTCTAAATAGATTTTATTTTTCATGCCAGGTAAACCAATTTTTTAAACTTTAAAAACAAAGATTTATATATAGCATAACTTTAGCTGCCACTCAGTTTTTTCCTTATGATCATTATTAACTAGCAGCTGTGCAATCTAGAAAGATGATTTTACACAATTGGGTTATCATACAGCAGAACAACACTTAACTAATAAAATGTTCATATTTTCAATGCTATATTCATAAGAAATGAGCCATAAATTACATAATTTGAAAAAAATGGATTTACTGTTTTGAGTAATACAATAATTCAAGTAAAATTGTACTTGGTTTACATAAATTCAGCAAAATAAAATTTCTTGATTTCTTAAACAGAACATGATTATGCCTTAAATTGTTTATTCATTTATAGTTTAATACTTATGTCTTAAAATCTTTCATTTACAGGTAGCCTCAAATTTAAACTTTTTACCAGAATTTTAAAAATATATTTTGAACATGGAATTGATTGCAAACCTTGAGAAAACAAAGTGAGTATTGTAGACGTATCTTTACTTTAAAATTCTGTTAATCTACAGTTCTAACAAGTTATTAATTTTTTTAATTAATAATGCATTTTAAGAATAATGAATTACCCTATAGATCCTCAAGGTATTGTAAGTATGCATTCAAAGATCTTACTAAAATATTTTTGTTATTTAATTTATTGTGTTTTTAATTTTATAGTGTTCATTTTTTAAGTCTTTAAGCAATTATGAAATATTTATTTAATCGATTATTGACAGTAATTTATACTTTAACAGCAAACAGCTAATAACCACATTTATAATTTATATTTAAACAACTTGAAGTAGTATATTAACCCTTAACTCTCAGTAAGTATTTCAAGTAAACCTCCCAACAGACATAATTATAATAATTAATTATAATAATTAATTATATTGTTATCCATAGCTATGTAGTTAACTATAGTTAAATTAATTATAAATATGATAACGATGAGGGGGAAAACTAAAATTATTTTTGCCGTTATTTACGTGATATTGAACCTGGAGCGTTAAAGTTACAAACCACTTATATGCCATTCATCGGTCTGTTAGGGGTTAATACCAAATTTAAGATTTTGTATTGTTGAACTGATCATTTTGAGGACCTGAAAAACTAATAAACTATGAAAAAAAGAGATCTAAATATAAATTTTTGTGTCTAAATTAAAATTACAAATGTCTTAAAGATTTTTTTATTTATTGCTCATCAGGCCTTCTGAGGGACTTACGCCGGACAACTTGAGATACTTGGAAGAAATCTTCAATAATGCCGTTGGTAACAATAAAGAAGTTGATTTTGAGAGTTTTAAAAATATAGTGCAGTCAAAAAACGTAAGTATTTTTTTTTATCCATTTTAGAATCCTAATTAACATAGCTTTTGTCCTGAGATGTATAGGCTTAAAAGAAAACAAAATTTTAAAAAGTATAATCATAAATAAAAGTAAAAGTTTAATGAAGGTATAATAAAAAAGTATAATATAAAGTTATAATATATATATATAAAAGTATAAATACTCTCTACAAGCGTTTTCCTTCAAAAGCGTCCTCCTTAAAGGCGTCCTCATTTTTCAGTCCAATTTTGTGCATTATTGCAGCTCTTTGTTCTTGAGCCAAAACTTCTCATTTTATCACATAAATTTTATAAATTTTATAAATCTCATAAATTTTATAGTTACTAAAAAAATATGATTTGACAAATTATTTTTGTAAACAGATTATAGAAAAAAATGTCCCAAAAATCGGGAAGAAATTTACTTATTTAATATATAAATTGAAATTGTTCAATAAAAATCAATAATGAAAACTTGTTTATTGTAACATTAAACTGAATGTTAACTAATCCTTATGACTAAAAACTTTATTCCAATGGAGGCAGTTTCAAAATTTTAGTCATGGTTAATCATTTTAAATTATATTGATATTTTAGATGCAATATTATAAACTCGTAATCTATGCAATGTTAATACCCTCTAAAAACAAAATTTGCAATAATTTTCCGTTTAACGGGTGAGGAAAAACACAAAACTAGACTTAAGAAGTCTATAAAGTACGAAAAGTAGACTTACTACAAAATGAAGAAGAAAAAAAAAATTTTTTTGTTTATTAAATAAATTATATTTTAATAAAATAAATTTTATTAAAATAAATCTCAAAATACCAAGTGACAAACAGAGGGAAAAAGACCCGATCTAAGGATTTCAAATTAATAGCAAATAAATTAACCAAATATCAAAAGCATTTGCCAATTCTCGAAAGTATTTGCGAATTCTCCAAATGCGAATCGTAATATTTTTGTATGATTAATTTTTTTCCCATAGAAAATTTATTTTACTGTACTTTGATTCAGACTTATATTATTTGGATCCAATTCTAATTGATTATGCGGCTGCATCTACCGAAAATTACTGTAATATAATAAAAAATACCGATTTGTTTAGAAAAAATTCTTTTTTTAACAGGTGTTTTTTGTAAAGCGCATCTTCCATATCTTTGATGCCGACAAATCTGGAACTGTATCACTCGAGGAATTCATGAGTGTTATAAAATCTTTCGCCAATCAAACGCCGTCAGAAAAACTTCATTATCTGTTTCAAGTATATGACATTAATGGTAAGTAAAATTTTTGAAAACGTTTAAATTAAAAATAACATGAAGCTTTTTTCAAAGCACTTTTTAATAAATTGTTTAAGATTTATTATTTCAAAGTTTTTCCAAAGAATATTTCGGGTTTTGTTTTCTTTTTATTTTGCTTTTTTTTTTTTTTCAATTTTCGAAGGTATCATAAAATTTGAGAGCCTATTGCCCCAAATAATTTTGGAAAAATTTAACAATATTTAATAGATTTTATGGTTAACTTTAAATTAAGAAAAAAGCATTACTTTCTTGCTTAATTTTTAAATACATTTGTTATTTTTTACAATTTATTAGTTGCATCAAAATGAGCTTCCTGCAATCTTAGTAAAATGCATCTCATAATATTTTAAAACTTTCTGCAGGGTAAATGTAAAGGGATACCTGCAGTTTATTTTTTACAATTTATTAGTTGCATCAAAATGAGCTTCCTGCAATCTTAGTAAAATGCATCTCATAACATTTTAAAACTTTTTGCAGGGTAAATGTAAAGGGATACCTGCAAGTGACGTAGTGAGGGTATCTCGATCTTGATTGGTTGTCGAAAGGTGTCATTTGTTTTCGTTAACAACTGTTCTTCCCCTTCTATTTCGAGTGAACCAAGCCCGTCACGTAGTCATTCACTAAAATGAAGCATTCTATATAATTTGGACCCATTAACGTTAATTCTATTTTTTGCTTATTTCGCCATATCTAGATAAATGTCTTTGCTAATTGAAAACTTTTTGCATACAACTATAAAATTCGTTTATCCAAAGATGATTCCATAAAAAAATATAACTTTTAGTAAATATTTATTTCTTATTTCTTTATTTAATAATAGAAGAAAGAATTTTGAATCGTATGGTATAAACATTTTTACATCAGTTTAAAGGATGCGATATAAGGTTCTAGATAATAACAGTTTTATTTAAGATTGTTCAAAAAATAGTGTTATGTTTAACTTATCGAGAAAAATTTCAAATTACAGAAAACTAATTTTTAAATTTGCATTTTTTTTTTTTAACTTTTAAGACTATCAAAGTGATTAGGGTGAATTCTAATGCATAGAGTATTTTAGTCAAATTCAATTAGTGAGGTGATTCTAATTAATATAAATTTATATATTTTGCTAACGTTTATTTATGATTATTTTAACGTATATTTATGATTATTCTATTGTAATTTTATTATGATGATATATTTATTATGATTATTATTTCATGATTATTAACATTTATTAGCACTTATTTATGATAAGCGCCTTTGTGTGACTGAAATATCGTTGAAATAGTTTTACTTAGCACTAGTTTATGTATATTAATTAATCTAAATATTATAAAAAACATTGTGAAACTCTTTTATTTAATTTTTTTTAATTTTAACGTTACTATAAAATACTTGACCGTCTACCGGATGCGACCTTTTTTTTTTGTCTAAGATTCTGTGTCCAATGCATTGGACAACATTCGGTATTATTAAAAATTTCTTTAAACATTTTTTTTTGCTTGTATGGCTTCACAAAGCCATTGTCAACGCAACAATATAATTAAATATTTTTACGTTGAAGAATTAATTGTGGAAGAATTTTAAGTGGTCAGAATTTCTAATTACAATGGAAAAATTGCAGAAAAGTTAGGAATTTTCAGTCAAGTAAACTTTGGGAAAGTTTTATATTGCATTATTAAATATATTATTTGAGCCAAGTTTATTTTATTTCATGACCAAAAGGTGAAGAAACATATTGTAAAAACATCCTACATTATCACAAAAAAGTTTAAAAATTGAAATTTGTCTTTTTTTATGTAATTATCGAAAATAAAGTTCATTGGTTTAATTGAATTATTAAAAATTTTATAACTTGTTTATGTGTTTACTTTCTAAGTCAGATATTTTTATCAAAAGTCATATCATCATAGTTTTGCCATTATTTAAAGCTCTGATCTTAGAAGATTATACCATCTAGATATGAGCTTTATTTTTAAATGAGAAATTTTAAAAATATAGATATTAAAATAATATTGTAATAAGATTAAATTTACTATTTTATTTAAACAATGCTAACAGAATTAAAAACCGAAATTGGAATTCTTCTCTAGTCTATCTCTGACATATGAGTGCAGTGCTTGCTAGAAATATAAATATGCTTATTGTTTGTATTTGAAGGTGATGGAACAATTCAATTTAATGAGCTGCGAAATGTTATAAGTGAATGCATGAAAGAGAATGGCCTGAAGTTTCAAGAATGTGAAGTTGATGAGTTAACACGTATGCTATTTGAAGATGCTGACGCTGACGGAAGTGGCAGTATAACATTCACTGAATTCAAAAATCAAGTAGAAAAGCATCCAGGTTTCATGGAGAATTTAACTCAGAGGCAAATATATCCTTCAACTTTAACATTCATTTCATGAATAAAAATTATTTTCCTCATAAAATAAGAACATTATAATAACGTTTATACTATTTAAATGTTATATTCTAAGTAATAAAGCATTGAAAACAATGCTCGTATCATTAGAATACAAAAAGAAATTAAATTAAAATTTTCGTAAAATCAATATAGTCCTAGTTGTCCGGGATTATTTTATGACCGCCGTTGAACCGCCGACCCAATTTTTGGGTTTACGACTACTATTGTTCAACGCCATAGCCTTGTAATTTTGAACCAATCCGGAGGACAAGGAAACTACTGGATCAGTACCCCCAGAGGTATTGATTTGCTACGGGAACATGGAGGACTTTGAGACTCGACAGATTTAACGTGCAGCAGTAACCATTTACTACAAGGGGAGTCTTCGACCGGCGGGGAACGAACCCACGAACTCTTGGACATGGGTCCGGCACCCCACCGACCAGGCTATCCCGGTCTAGTAGCGACAATTTATCAGAATTATTGTTGCACCGCACCTGTGGACCTGCTGCAAGGGGAGTATTAGTTGATTATATAGTCGATTATGTCAGTAAATAGAAATTGTCCGGGATTATTGTAATAAGATCGGGGTGCGTTTTTAAAATTCAAACCTAAATTTTTGGTTTCCTTTCTTCTTTCAAAGCACTACAGCCTATTACAGGCCAAAGACATCTCAAGTAGTCTTTGCCACCTGGTCCTATCCGCAGCAAAGCTCTTTCAGTTTCCTTTACTATTTGAAAGTCAGACATCCAGTCAAGCCACCTAATTGATGATCTTCCTCATTTCCTGTTTCCCATCGGATTAGTAAAAGGTCACTTTTTACTATATTTGTATTATCACATCGGAACAGATGTCCAAACCATTGTAGTCTACTGCATGTTATGACTTTAACAATATCAGGTTGCTTGTCTCTTTTGGTAAATTTCAAAGTTACACAAAGATCTCATTATTACTATCATAGACTGCACCAACTATTTTTCTTAAGATTTTCCGTTCAAAGGTCAATTTATTTTCATGTAACTTGGTTCTTGATCAGCATTTACTCCCATATGCCAGAAAAGGTCGAATTAATGTTTTATAGATGTTGATTTTTGCAATAATGAAAAAAACGTTAATAGTCCCTCTCTAATAAAGTCCCATTTTCTGCTGTCGGTACATAACACCGTTAGACTTTCTCATCCAAGTTAAGCGTATTGTTAGCGTTTCATACAGCTCAGACAATTGCAGTTAGCACCAAATAACATAACAGTACAATTGTTATATGCATGTTAGTTTCAATAAATTGCTTACTTTTTTAAACTTTTGTGATAATACATTTCATTTTCATATACGTAGATGTACAGGAAGCAATGATCTTTATCCATCTGATTAAAACATCGTTTTACAACCTTACTATGCATTAATTTCCTTCAGATCGTAATCTACAGACAACATTAAATTTTAATTGAACTTTATTGAATTTCCGTAGCCATTTCCGTTAGATAATTCTAAATTATCAATCGATGGTAAAATTAAGTAAGACTCTGGGAAGTGTGAATGGGAATCGCGTCCGTTATAATTAGATAATTACTACACTAATTTAAACTTTCACTTAGACAACTATAAAAAATAATGAAATTACAAAGCTTTTTCTGTCCTTTTCCTTTATGCAAATGTGGAAATCACGCTGTCAAGTTTCCCTAATGACATTTCCTCGTTTCAGTTTCTACTCTTTTAATCAACCTATTTTCTTTTTACTAAACTGGTCATTTATAGTGAAATTCTGAGATCAACATTTCTTGCCAGCAAGTTTTGAATAAGAGAATAGTGCAATAGCTTTTTTCTTTTGTGAAAGCACACAATACAGCTAATTTTATTGTTAATATTATCTAAAAATTTATGTAGTGGTCCGAAGTATTGGATACGAATTTAAAGCAATGACAATTATCGCAATTTAAAGTTATAGTACTTGCCTGCATAATATTCAAATATGACATTTATTCTTTGGAGACAAATACCAAAACTGAATAGATTTTCACGATTCAAAGTTCGTGAAATGAAATCGTAAAAAAAAAAAAAAAAAAATTCCTCCACATAATAAGCTAGCATGTTTTAGAAAAACGTTTCAAGCTTACGAAAATAGTAGTAGTCATGGTCCGTAATGATTATGAGCTCTGGATTTAAACCGCTGGTTACATGAATATTCCCCTAGTTCTGTAAACCCCCGGTTATATTGAATTACCATAAATCTTTTGTGCTGAAGTTTGAACCTTTTAAAAACTATAATTCACTCTGTTCCGTAATGGCTGTCCTTAATTTATATTTTAAGACGCCTTGTCAATTATAAACATTCCCACCTACCTAATTAGAGATTCGTTACATTTCTATAGTAATTTCCCCATTTAGATGTATGTAGCGTAACTACCAATACCAAAATTAAACATCAATTCACTGGTATATAAGACATGCTGACTTGATTCAATCACGAGGCACCTTTTGATAGATAACGGTATACCCTCCAACTACTACGAAATTTCCTTAGTTTCAGAAATCTCTTTTCAGACGGTAGCAAAATTAATGTCTTAATATTTAAAAAAAAATTAATTTTAGCGTAACTTGTCCACTATTATTTATAAAAGTGCAGGCCATATGGCTAGATTCTTAAATTCTGATAAAAGTTTTATCAGAGATCCATTTGCTTTAAAAATTTCTACTTTGGTTCGCTACCACTAGAAAGAATTATTTTCAAAATCTTCATAAGTTGGAGGGTATGTGAAGGTGAACCTACACCAACATTTCCTGCTCTTTACCCGCCATTATCGATTTCAAATTGCGACGAATCGGTTAATGCCGCTTCGCGGCAGCGCACCGAGATTTGGTTAATTTCTAATGTTCTAATGAAGGTGAACCCCCACATTGGTGACCTCCGGACGTGATTTGAACACGCAGTAACACCCACTTCGCAAAATAACTTGATGGTAACGCCTACTTCGATGGATAGTCCACATTGAACAATTGACTTGTGACTGCAGAATGCAACAACGAATGCTACGACGTGATGTTAATACTCCTCTCACATTCAGTACTCAACAGCGCTCTCCCGGACTTTCACAAATACCGCAACTAGTGTTATCAATTCATCGAATTCTATCGCCGATAAAATTCTAGTGAGGGAGTATTGTACCGTAACTACCACTACGAAAATTAAACATCAATTCATTGGTATATAAGCCATGCTAACTTGATTACACCACGAGGTACCTTTTGATGGATGAAGATTGGCATAGTCAATAACTCCCGCCCCCCACACCCACATATATTTTCTATAACTTAGCTCAATATTTTCCTTAAACTTAGTGTCATAAAACTCTACATTTAATTTTAATATAATCCTTTTTAATAAATTTAGCATGTTAACGTATAAGATTTTTATATTTAATGTTAAAATTATCATATTTTTTGCAAATTTGCCATGATATATGATTTCATGTTTTTTTTTTACATTTCTTTGATATTACACACTATTTAATATGCGATTGATATTCTTTGATTTTTCAGTATTGAAAGATGGTTTCTGCCACCAATGAAACCAAAAGAAAAGCAGTCTTTTTCATGTTCTTGCTTTCCGAGACGAATAAAATGGCTGCACATCAGAAACAACTTGACAAGTGTAACTTTCCTACTCATGTTCTTCCTTCTCAATGTCACTTTGTTTACTTCAAGAGCTTGTCACTACTGGGACACAAATATATACGTCATACTCGCTAGAGCCTGTGGTAAGTTGAAGTGACTCGAAATTCCATCAGTGAGTTTAATTTCAAAGTGATTACTTAAAAAAATTCACAAATTCACTGTTAGTCACATTATTATAAAGAAAGTACATCATCGGTGAGTATTTTATTCTTTGCGGAGCATATTTTCCACATAAACGACTGCTTTAAAGAAAAATGCATATTCTTTGGTTTTTAACTGTTATCCGCCAAATGTTAAATAATCTGGGGGTTACGATTTTTTCTGCGTCTTTGACGGTTTAAAGCTGTTCGGTAGATAACTGTTCTTCTCTTTTTTAAACGTAATTATATATTAATTAAAACCGTCAATTCAAATTCTAGTTATTGCCATTTAATTTTGTTTACCGTTCGATAGCTTTACATTTTTTTCCAATCGTTTTAAGATTATTTTCTATACTTGCTCTAAATTTTCAGCTATTATTTTATGGTTTCTTGAGCATCACATAATCGCCTGCGAATCGACTTAATTGTCTAAATGATACTCTACCAGATTGTTTCTTTAGATTTAATTTTGTGGTAAGTTAAGTTGCCAGACTATTTCATAAAAGCAGGTCACTATAGTTTTCAATGATTTTACATTGAAATATAATTTCTATAAGACTTTTAAGATAAAAACAGTTTACGAATTGCATTCATTAAGAAAGTTAGAGCTTTCAGATGACAGAACACTCACTTCCCAATCAGGCAACCAAGGCTCGAATCCCTGTGATGATTGGTCCTATGAATTTTGCTCGTGGCTCTCACCATTCTTAATGCTAAGTTATTTTATAGTTTTTTGTTAAAATAAGTTATTTTTAAATTGTTTGTTAAATTAACGAAGTTTGTATGCTAAAATAACAGTACTTAATTGCTTGAAAAACAGTTGTTCGTTTTCAATTAACAGTAATTTCCTGTGAAATAAACGGTTTTATGCCGCCACACCAGCTGACTGTTTTTTTCCGTAAATTTAAGATATTTTTTTAGTGCAATATTTCAAATATATAAATATGTAATTTGTAATGATATGTCTATAACTGGAATATCTTGACATTAAAAGTTAGTAGCGTCTTGGCATTAAAAGAAATTAAAAGTTAACAGCCAAAAATAATAGAATTTTTATCTATAAAAAATCTTAAACTCTATAACGGATGATTCTATCTGATTTGTCCCGCTCATCACGTGAAATGAAGGTAGTTATTAATGATCACCCATCTTTGTTAGCTCTACTTTTTTGTTCTTTTACATGTGCTTGTTGAACTGCAACACAAACATGTTGTAAAAAAATAATAGTCTCAACTTGTTCTTGTAATCAATTAAAATATAATGATATGAAAGGATTAAACTCCCCTTGTTCATGCTTTTCATTTTTAAATTACTAAGACTTAGTAATTTCTAACATTTCTGCGATATCGATTTCTATTTCCAGGACAATGTCTCAATTTCAACTGTGCTTTCATCGTCTTTTTGATTCTACGGCAAACGCTCACATGGTTGCGAGCGCATGGGTTTTCCGAATATTTTCCTATCGATCAACATCTCTACTACCATAAACTAACAGGCTGCGTCATCGTATTTTACAGTGTCTTACACACAGTAATGCATGTCATTAATTTTTGTAAGTACTTGTTTTCGTATGTTAATTTGTTAATGAATATTTATTGAAAGTTTTCTACGTATTTAATTTTTCCGCAGAAATGGTTGCATAGCATAGTTGGAGTACCAACTTATGCGTTTAATAAATCTATGTTTTCCTTTTTTTTGTTTTTGTGATAAATTGTGAAAGTAAATTGTGATTAGATTATTTAAAAAAATTCAAATTTTTTATTGAAATACAGCGACAAATACTGAATTATGCTATCATTTCTTCAACCTTGTCCCATCGAAATTGTTTGAATAACTTCCTTTTTTTCCCATAAAATTAATGGTGATAAAATTCTCCATAATGTAGCATAAGATTTCTTGATTACATTTTTGAATTTATAAGCTTTAAAGCTTCCCTTTGTTTACAAGAAAGTTACATTTTAAAGCTTTTGAAACAATTTCAAAATTAGAAAGTCATCAAAAAAGAAGGTTCAAAAGTTTAAATCATAAAAATAGGTTTCATCAAAATAAGTTTCAGAAAAATAGGGTTGATAGTTTCCTTGGAATCAATGTGACAAAATAAATTTTCTTGATAACACAATTTATTATAGAGAAATAAAATAAATAAAAAGTATACTAAAAATAATCAGATAAATTTTTACTTTGCGGAGCGTGTTACAAATCTCTCTATAAATCGAAAAATAAACTTTTGTAATGCCTCAAAAAATCTGTTTTTCATAAATTCTGTATTTAGACAAATTACTTAGCACGCCTTCTTTTATACAAGCATAAATTTAAAAACAAAATCAATTCGTTTTTTTTTATTTACTTAATATAAACGGCTTAAATTGAAACTTACATTACAAAAATATTTTTTTTTAAATTTTTTCTAACAATTTATGGCAGTTAATTGTTAAATAAATTGAAATTCCTGCTTTGTAGTTCCTAAAATTCCTTCCAAAGGTTTTTGATTATAGAATTGAAGCGTTTTGAAGGGTTTCGAAACTATTAAGCATTCATTATTCTTTACTTAATTAAAAACTTCACTCACTTCAAAAAATACACATAATGAAAGTAGCAGTCAACATGTTTCAAGAGCCCCTTTTTCCCCTTTTTAAGATTTTGCCAGGCTCAGGCGATATTCACTATTGCCGAAATGGAAACTGATGCATTTCCCTCTTCAATTAACATTTAATTCGATATCATTATCTTTTAATATTGACTTTTTAGTAATAACATAAGTTCCTCCCCAACACTCCATAGGGCTTGGAAATGCATTTTAACCTAATTTCCCCACCTCGGCTTCTTTGAGTTTTCTTGTTCCGTGTTTCATCTTTTTTTCTCTCAGCTACTGTGATTTTTTTCTACTTTTCTTTATCGCTATTATTTATCCATTTTTCGTTAAAACTTTTTATATTTCAAATAAATTTTTTTCTTTCTCGTTTGGCATGTCTTGAAAATGGGCACCGATTTTTGAGCACGAACTTATACGTTGAAGCGAATGAAGTTTTTAATCACGTAATAGCTTACAGCTTTAGCTTCTTGAGATTATCGAATTCATTTTTCCTATTCACATGTTACACATATCGATGAGAATGTGTTCATTGAGACATCTGTTTTTAGAAATTACAATGCTCTTCTTCACCTGTAGGGCTTTGAAATGTTCTCGTGTTTATTGATTGTAGATATTATTTAAGAGTAAGTCGTCATCAAATTTAATAAATGTATAGCATTTAGGAAATATATAGCATTTCCGAATAAAGAATGATTTTTCAGCAATTAATAGTTTTGGCAGATGACTAAATTCTTTTTTTTTTTCTTTTTTTTCAGATAACATGTCTGTACAAAGTGAAAGTAAGGACGAAGAAAGTATTCCCTTTCTACAATTCCTCACTTCCACCCACCTGAATATTGGTTGGATCGGGGGTGCAGCGTGTATAACTGGGTGGATTCTGATACTTATTTTGATAATCATGTTTATATCCTCCATGCCTTTTGTTCGTCGAAATGGAAAATTTGAAGTAATTTAGTCTTTTTATAAACATTTAATACGATATCTTTTACGTGCAATCACTAATTCCTCAATACGTAATCACCTAAAATCAAGGACAAATATAAATTTTTGAAATAAACTAAGAATCTATTAAAATGAAATTTGTAAAAAGAAAAACTAATATGCAAGGTTTTTTTAATAGAAAACTTGTCCTTATAAATGAAGTTCAAAAAAATTCCCTACAGTCAGCAGTACGCTTCCCCAGTCCCGCCGTGGACTGATCGTTAAGACACGGTTCCCAGCAGATCACCGGAGTCAAGCATCCCTGGCTGCTGTCAGTGTGCGGGTGGGTGACCACTTGGATCAGTCTGCGTAGGGACCGAGGGTGTGTGGTATTGGTTCTCGTTAAACTGTTCTTCCGTAAAGTGTACGACTTCGCGTGCAGGTCGTCGGGCTACCGAAGCGGGGGTGCCATCCCCTATGCAGAGGATCAAAATTGTGATGGCATGTCTTCGGATCATCCTCAGGGATGTTTCCCAGATCGTCGCCGATAGCCCATTGTGCTGCTCTAGTGCGACGTAAATGAACTACAACAACAACGCTTCCCCCTTTTTTGGAAGAAATTAAACGTCTTTTATGCAATGTACAATTTTAAAGCGAGACGTTATTTCCGATAAAATATTTATGCTAATGATATAGAAGTAAAAAAGGTTTATGTGGAAAAAATATGATTAAGTGAAGCATTACTTCTTGTGCATTTTTAGTGCTAAATTAAGGGATCAAGCGGAAGTCAATTGAACTGATAGTTCAGAAGCTACGAAAGTTTTAATGTATATTAAAAGTATTTTTATCTATAACTTATTTACAATTTAGACTAGTAGGCTATCTGAACTAGTGAGATACAATGTAATGTATGTACAACGTAACATAATGTCGTGCATTATATTACGCTGTATCACGTAAAGACATGTTGGAGACTGATAGCTCAAAAGTTATACTAGTTTAAGCACAAAAGGAAAAATGTTTGACTTGTACGTATTTATGAATCTGCAATTACTATCTAAACAGATGAAATATTGCTTCACCCTATTTTCAATGAAACTAAACATTAGCCAATAGAATTGACGGCTTATAAGCGACATAAATTTATTTCTAGCATAAAAGTTACTATTTTCGACTTGTGTTACTATTTTACTTATATTTTGCAAACTGTGCTTTCTAAGTGTTAATCCTATGGGCTCAGATTTGGTTTTACTCAATTCAATAAAAAATACTATGGGAGAACAATGACTCAATGGTGTAGATAGCAATATAAAAATGAAAATAAGTTATATTAATAACTATTTTCGTACTTAAAACTATTATAACTTACAAATCTATATGTATTATAACTTCTTAAAATGTTTTATTTTCATCAAATGATATTCGATTATTCTAATATTTTGGATCAATGTCATAAAAATTTTATTTTTACACAATTTTTTTTCATGAATATTAAGTTTATTTTGCCTTATTCACATTTGCTACAGGCATATACGCATATTTAAATATTTTTTCGGCAAATATATTTATTTCCTGCCTCACTTGTCGTACAAAACCGTGGAATTACAATTGGTACTAGACTTAATATGGCAACAAGTTTCTCTTATCTTAGTTGACATACAAAGTGTATAGGAATTGCTCCTCTATATATTTTAAGAAGCCTTGTCAAAGTTGAAGTGCATAAAAATGCTATAGAATTCTGCAGAATCAGAAACAAATCACATGAAGACCTCTAAATTGTTAGTTGTAATGCAAAGCCCAGAAATTTCACATCAAATTGCGTAAATAGAAACTTTTGATTCAAAATACATAGAATAATACAACGAATTGGATGCCTACAATTGACGTCCTCTTATGCAAATCATGGCATTTGTCTATTCAAAAGCCAATCAGGTTCGACTCAGCCTTCAGGTTTGATATCACTTATATGTATCAAATTAAATCTGATTCAAATCACAGGGTTATGCGTAATCACTTCTCTTCTTGAGCTGCAACTAAACTAATAATAGTCTCTGTATTTTTATGAAACTTATAAAAAATATCTGTTACTAAACATTTGTATTTCTTGTAGGTATTTTACTACCTCCATCAATTATCGTTTGTGTTTTGGATGTGTCTAATATTACACGCCCCTCATTTTTGGAAATGGTTTTTAGCACCAGCGTTACTCTTCTTAGTTGAAATCGTTACCCGCATTAGTCGGCATTTATCCAGCAATAAGGTAGCATATGTTCAACATGGAATCCTTCTACCTTCTAAGGTAATAAAGTTTTATTGATAAAAATATAGGGAATGGGAAGTCACAATAATGCTAGTCAAAATTCCTGAAAGGTTTAACTGTAACCGAACTGTAACAGAAAGGCAGAATAAACCTACAGTTATGCAAAATTCTAAATATATTTCTTATGTTCCTTGATTAATTTATTTTTCAGTTTAAGAAGTTTAAACTATTAATTTATTGCCATAAATAAATATTTTAGTGGAAAATAGTTTTTTTTTTTCATTATTTCTACATGTACTTGGTTTTAACCTACCAGATTGCATAAAACTGGGTTTTTGCGTGATTCCAAAATTAACTTACCATCCAAAATGTAGTATTCTTTTTACATTATTCCATTTTTGAGCAAAGAGGGCAATTTTTATCGTTCAAAAAATTAAAAAGTAAGCAATTATATTCAGATTCTTTGGAGAGAAAAAATAAGGGACCCGGTTTTGTTTAACTTTCCTCCTACCTGTAATAACCTTGTAAACTCACTTCCTAATCAAACCGAGGTGCAGTTATAAGGTAGTTATAAGTTAGTTTCCTGACATGGATTTTTGGAAACAGCTCCAAACTCTTCTGACGATACCGTTCGAAAACCAGCTGAAAAGTTCAATGGGTTTTCATCTTAAGGGAAGAGTAGAAATTCTTTTCCCTCTTTGTTAAAAGGAATTTCATGTAGAATTCAATTATTTTGAAAAACAAACTTTTCATTTCGATACAAAATATTTTCCAACATTGCTGCGACAATATTTTTTGTCACTTTTTCAGCAAAGCAGAAATGCATATGAACTACACTTTTAGAAATTGAAATTTTTATTGGTGCATTAAAAGTAAAACGATCAAACCAAATCCAGTAGAAATGTTCCCTAATTTTTTAAAAATCGTGAATTGTATTTTATAATTCTTTAGGATTTGAACTTTTAATTGTAGATTAATTTTCTGAAAGAAATATTTAAAATATTGGCAAAACATTATTAAAGAATAAAGATATCATGTGAAAATTATAAAATGAATCAATCTAAAATTATGCTGTTAAACGAGTAACAAATGTTAACTGTTAAACGACAAGCTTCTCAAAAGTTGAAGAAATTTAGAGGGCTCCAAAAGCTCCATGTCGTGGAAGAGACCTAATGTTTATATGATTTTACTATGACTGATTTTTTGTCTGTGAGCTTATTATAGATTAAGTTTCGACATCACATCCAATTTTGTTTCAGGTAACTCAACTAGTTATCAAGAGGCCTCCCAAATTTGATTACCGCCCTGGTGATTACGTTTACATAAATATTCCCGCGATTGCAACGTATGAATGGCATCCCTTCACAATTAGCAGTGCTCCAGAATTAGATGGTAAATACTTTTATGCATTTGATGGTAAATACTTATACAATGTATTACTTATTCAATGAGCAATCTGTGTGCTTTATTACTAATCATTCATATTCATATTTTCTTAATTTATAAACATAATAAGTTATTAAAAATATAATTTTTTGGTGTATTTTCATTTAAAATTTTTGTGACTGAGATAACGAAAGTATTTATCCTATTTTCTGACAAACCAATCTATTTTTCAAAACAATTTATTCTTCAATTCTTAGACTGTTTACAAAACTTACTTAAGTTGATAGTTAATACAAATGGAAATCTAAAATTAACTGTCCAGGCACGTACAACCTCACAATAAAAATTTATTAATTTTTTTAACACCATAAATAATTATTCTCAAAATACTTTTAAAAGTACCAGAATTCAATCATGAGACGCATTTAAGCAACACCTCCTTAGAAAAGGGTAAGCCTTAGCACGGGTTACCATAAATATCCTTTAGTAGTCCAAACGTAATGACATATTTCGTATTTTCAACCACTGCGCAGCTTAGTACCCCGAACGTAATGACTTCTTTCTTATTTTTCATCAACTGCACAGTTAGCTTCGTCACATCGGACTACTAAATTGATCCGTGCTGAGGCCTTCCTTCTTCTAGGAGGTGTTGATTTAAGCCAACCCATATTGAATGGTAAGTAAAGATGCCTTTGTGAGCGATGCCCTATTACGTTGTCACAATCACGAAGTTGGTCTCGAAGCTGTGGATTCTTAACTTTCGTCACCTCCCTATTCTACAACGTGCTATTACGGAAATGTAATTTTCCTTTTTTTATTTTAAATACAATAGTCATAACAGTAGTTTAAGATCTGTGTTCATTTCCTATTCTTAACCGTTAAATTCAAGTTATGTCCCTTTTTCAAACACGCATTTTGAGCTATTTCTGTTTTGTTTTTTTTTCATTCTGCTTTGACGAAATGTTTCAGCTCATACGCTTTATTTGGAGAAAACACAAAAAAAATCAGACCATTAAAAGTCCTCTAATTTTATAATAATTTAAATTTTTTATAACAACTCTTCTATTAATACCTTTCACAGACACTTTCTGAATCACATAAATATGATTTCATTTTATTTTACTGAGCTTACTACTCTCATAACCCTTTAATTGCATTCTTAAAATTTTAATAGATATTTTACAAACAGGGATAAAATATTAAATTTTCTAAATATCCTAAACTTTTACGAAATTCTTTATTTTATGTTTACATTCTTTGTTATAGATGTTATTTGGCTTCATGTTAGAGGAGTCGGTGAGTGGACTAACAGCCTGTACAATTATTTCGACAGGACTGAGAAAGAAGCTGTTCTAAGTGATGAATTAGCGAAAAATTTGGAAGTTGAGTGTCAGTCACAAGTAGGCAGCGAGCAGCTCAATTGCTTTCGAGATTCTACAACATCAGACGTATTAGCGGGTACAGATAGAAATTGTAGCGCTCTGTCCTATTTAAAAATAAACGATGCAACTTTTATCTGCACGCCTGAACCAGAGCAAAAAATTATCCACAGAGAAAATGCCCTGATTTCTTCCAGCAGTGACATACTAGATGACACCTTTGTCAATCCATCTTTTGTATCTGAAGACGATGCAAACCAAACTGTCATAGAAATGGAATTAGGTAAAGGAAGACAGCAAAATAATTCAAATAAAGACAGCGTAAGCTCCTTGAGCATCAATTCAAATGTTGATCTTGTATGGCGAAGAACGTCTTTCACATCAAATTCTACAAGTAGAGCAATACAGAAAAAGAATCGAGAGGATATTAGGAGCTACATGGCAGAACAAAGCATTAACATTAGTAGACCTGATACTACCACAAACCGATCTTCGTCAAGATTATCAGTAAAAGGATTTCCAAAATCTAAAAGGAAATCGGTTCGAGTCTCCATTGCCAAGAAAGGTTTACGACGATGTCAAACAGTCATTGTAATGCCAACCGTCGCAGAAGATGAGGAAGAAGAGCCGAAGATGGATTTAGACAAAGATGTGCTACCCACTGAAGAAGAAATCAAGGATTTAAATAGGGAAATCGAGTTTGAAAATGTCATTGTAAAACAAGAACCCTTAAAAGTAAGTCATAACTTTAAAAAATCAAAAATTCTGTTTTTGGTCAAATCTAGATAGTGAAACTGAGTTATTTTGAACATTGCATTAGAGCGATTTATAATTTTAAAAAAAATTAAGTGTACCTCCGATTTCCATAAATGATGGATAGATTCCATAGATTGTCACTTTTTATTTCAATTTAAAGTTCAAATGGATTTACTAGGCTAAAATTAAGTAACGAAACGTACACCTGAAATAATAATGGAATACTGTTAATGAATGGCATGACTTGCAGAAACACAAATATCCACGATACCAACATTTTTTTACAAATATTGTTTTAAAGAATTGGAGATTCTAATCTATTTTTAATTCAGTTCATAGTAACTTACACAAAGTGCTTTCTTCCACTTAAGGCTACAGTGGACCTTTATATTGCCAAAAATTGATAAAAATTTCGGGTTTTTTTTTTGGGACATATTTAGACACTTGTTTCATTGCTTTTTCAATTGAATTTTTTGTTTTTAAATTTCGTCATTTTTTGAGAAGTTATAGGGTAGTTTCGTTTTCACATTATGAAGCCACGCCCCTTTTCTTACACAAAAAGCTGTTTTTCTCAAAATTGAAATTTTGTTATGTTTCACGTATTCAAAATGTTCCAGTCGACTTTGTTTTCATCCTATTGAGATGAAATTTTTTTCTAGTTATTTATATGTATATTAGATTAAGTTTATGCATTTGTTTCTGTTTTATAACAAGTAATAAAAGAGTTATCGGGTTTCATGTACCTAACGACCTTTATTTTGAAACAAAAATCTACATAAAATTTGTTTTTTGGTCATAAATTTAAAATAAATTTAGGAAAATTCCTATATAATGCATAAAGCTTTTAACATTTATCTCTAAAAAAAGAATATTAAAAAAAAATAAATAAAAATTTTAATTTAAGCCGCTGGGAGCATTTTAAAATTGATGAAATTCTTTTTAAAAAATTTTAAATTTCTCAAAAATGGTCCAAATATTTTTTACAAAATTTTTGCAAGGGCATATCTTGATAGAATACATAAGTTATAAAAAAAGTTTTAGTGTAGCATAAAAACTAAAAAAATTTTTTGAACGTCCGCTGTAGCCTTAAACAAGTCTAATTAGAATTCCAGCAATACTAGCTTGGTTCCATTTCTGTTTATTTTAATATTCTATTCGTCTATTTTAAACAATGCTCATCAGACTTTCCCACAGATACGCAGACCATAATTTTTAGATGTTTTTGACCCAGGAATACTGTATTTTGTTCTATCTAGTATACCTTAAATGAAAATTTCATGCACATAAACTGCTCGAGGTAGAAAAAATTCTTTCACGTGAACAATTCTTTCTCGGACGTATTTCGGTGAAAAATTTCAGTGTGAAGCTTCATCTAAATGTCTGATGCTTAAAGCTCCTTGCGAATTTTCTTTTTTTGACGCAACCTCTGTTACTTTTATTTCCTGATTAAAAATTGCTTTTTAAATCGATTCAAAGCAATTCTCAAATGTGTGAATTTTGTAAGAAGCTTAAATCCACTCCGTAGCTATTTGTCATTTGGCTCAGTGAACAAATAATAAAATTTAATTTAAAAAATTATTGTAGAAAAAACTATATTTGCGATTGGAACTGTTACTAATTACTGTTAATTGCAACTAATTTTTGATTTTGGGAATTTTCTAAATTCTGCAACTGGTATTATAAGTTCTTTATTTTCAGATATATTTAGATGGACCTTATGGATCTCCATCTCGCCACATATTCCACGCAAAGCATGCTGTTCTGATTGGTACTGGTATTGGAGTAACCCCTTTTGCCAGTATATTGCAAAGCATTATGTATCAATATAGAAAATCTAGGCACACATGCCCCAATTGTAACCACAAATGGTCTGATCCCCTTCCAGTATCAAACATGCACCTTAAAAAGGTAAGTTCATTTACAACTGTTTCTATATTTTTTCATTTATTTCATTAAATTAATAGAGCTTGATATAGTGTTTTTTACAGTGAATGTATAGTATATTAGTTAATAGTATATTAAGGTGATAATTCTAAAGGTGAAATCGGAAAATGTTGATCAACTTCTGAAAAAATACATACCTTATACAAAAAGGGAAAATAAATTCTAATGTTCTCGAATCTCTAAGCATCATAAAATTTTTTGCATGCTTAAAAAAGTCCTTCCACAACACGAAGAAATGTTTATTTCTTAAAAAATATAGAAATAATAAGTCTTCTGGTGTATTTTGAAACACGAACTAACTTCTTTGTTTCCCGCTGCTCGATCAAGACCAAAACCAGTTTGGCTTGAAAGCATTTTATCAGATATGTTGGAGCATTCTTTGCTAGAATTAGGCCGCCACTTGAGTATTTTACGAGCGAATAATTAAAAAGAAAACTGCTTAAAAAGACTTTATTTGCAGTTGAGACGTGTAAGACATGACAATCTTATTAATTATATGCGTTACTACATGGAGTAATTTCAGTTCTCTTTGTATTTCTGAATCCAAAAAAATATTTTCCCCAGATGCAATGAGACCGACATTTACAAATTCAATTAAGTTAATTTCTCCTTTTATGTATTTTCAACTGCTAATTCTATTCTCTTTCACTCAAAGGCTGTCACTGGCGATCGTACAAAAGTCTTATTTATTTAAAAGCGTAATTAATAATTAAATTAAGGTACTTGAAACACATTTGCTTTTGTGCAAGTTAAATATTTTGCAGTTAATTTTGGAATTTGAATAAGAGTATTTGGTAATGTTCCGTTTCGGTCGTTTCCAGTTGAAGCGGTGCACTAAAATAGTCCTGTTTGAAGAGATGTTTTCATATTTGGTGTTACAAATTAGTTTGGCTTCAAAATGAATTTTAAAATATCTTACTTGCAGCCTCCAGTGACCAGCTAGTCCGCCTTTTTAAATAAGTGAAATTTCGAGACTTAAAATCGTACAGTCAAAAATCAAAACAATCATACACTTACGGTAAACTCATATTGCTCAAATGAAAGTGGATTTAGTTTTTGTCTCCTACATGCTCGTATGGTATCGTGGTGACATTTTTTTACTAAAAGGTTCAGTGAAACATACGCTAACATTAAAAATAAATTTAATTATCTCAATGACATCTTTGATGAATAATAAATCAAATTAGAAACTTTATCAAATCAAATTGTGCACTTATTTTCTATTACTAATTATGCAAGCCGGTGAATTTACTTTGTAAAATATGTTATAAATTTCTTTAAGTTAAAGGATTGCACAAAACTAAAACAGCAAACAATACATTATAATGCAAAATTAAAATTTAAAAAAATAATTTAGCTTAATGGCGTTGTTCAAGAACTAAAAAACAACATAATCAAGTAAATGAGTATTTAAGTTTGAAAAAAGTTAATCAGTCTTTACATTTATAAAACACATTTAATTGATAATTGAAGTAGACTTCAGCCTGAAAACTAGTTTCACTTAACTTTAAACCTAGACGAAAGATTTTTGTGATCAAAAACTTTTCTTATAATTAAGACCCAGGAGTTAAGACTTAACTTATCTAAGTCTTAAATGTGTATATTCAAATATATAATTTTGATACTTTTGGGGATCTATCGGCTGTTGACACCCATCGTCTCATCTTCTACTTATCGGTTATAAGGATCGGATGCTGGCATCTGCTTTTTCGAGTTGTCACTCAAACAAATATTAACACCCATGACTAATATGTAAAAATTTTAATATTGCGATACATTGTCAAAAACATATCACGATACTTTCCCAATAAATCTAATTTCTATATTGGTGTCAATATTTTTTTCCCAAATAAAATTTAGCAGCATTTGGAATAATATCATATTCAGTAATTATCGCTTTGCAGAATACGCACGATATTGTCCTATTCGATGCACCTATGTGCATTATCGTGCTCCCTTGACCAGTGTAAATCAGAATCTTACAAACGTTGCTTCATGGTACCAATAACCGATAAATGCTGATTTTTTATAAAGCTTATATTTTCATTTAAAGGATAATTGTTATTCAGTAAACGTATGTTAACAATTTAAACAAAAAAAAATGTGTTTTGGCTAAAATGGTATTTGTGAGGATACCATGTATTATAATCAGCAAATTGGTTAAAATCAAATTGTACACTTATTTGCTATTATTGATTATAGTTGTGTTTGTAATTAAGGCAGATTGTTTTCATTGTTGACTCAACGATATTTTTATTTATTTTCCGAGTCAATAACATTTGTAAGAGCTTTTTTTACACCATAATAAAATGAAATTTCCTTTTTTTCCGCTCAATGCCGATTAACACGTTGAGCACGGCGTCAGCCATCGGTGGCTGACACTGGACTTTCCATTTAGGTCGCGTCAACCACCGGTGGCTGACACTAAAATTACATTTAGGCTGCGTCAACCACCGGTGGCTGACACTGAAATTACATTTAGGCTGCGTCTGCACCACGTGTTGACACTGACCTTTCACATAGGCCGCGAAAAACAGCTGTCTGACAGCGTATAACATGATATAGAACTATAAAATTTACTCTTTTATGGAATTGCAGAAAATTTATTCAAAATTTACTTAATTATAGTGATTCTTGATTTAATAAATTCTATTTAGTAGATTTTTATCCACCACTATTTTTAAACAATTCGTAGTCTTATATAACTCACCACTTTTGTCATATATGTCATGCTAAACCTTTTAAAACTAGCAAAATCTGTCTAACATTTGCAATTTTAGTTTGTAGTTAATTACAGTTTGGGCAGACGGGCAAGCCATGTAAAATTAGCGTAGTGTTCAACGTATTAAATGAATGCACAAATTGGAATCGCTAAATAATTATTTTTAAATCAAAATAGTTTAATGGCGCTGTTAAAGAACTAAAACGCAGCATAACTAAATCAATAAGTACTTATGTTTAATAGTTAAAACCAGTCTTATCATTTATCAGACATGTTTATCAAACAAATAAAATCAAATGAACCAGCAGTAAAAAATAATTTTAGAAAACCTGAGTGAATGAAAATGTAAGGAGTAGCTTGCAAGATTTACTTATAACGTTGCAAAAATATTTAAAAAAGGAAAGTGCAAATGTTTTAGTTTTCAATAAAATTACGTCTCAGCAAGCTTTTAATACTAGCATACGCTGTTTCAACCTGTTTTATTTAACTTTTAAGCTTAAATGGAATATTTTTAGTAATAAAATTTCCTTTAATATTGAGACAGGCGTTGCGACTTATCTAAGTTTCAAATCTGAGTACTCAAATTTATAATTAATGTTTGTTTAGTTCATCTAGACGTCTAACCTCTCATCTTTAAAATTATAGATGAATAGTGCATACCAGTTATAAGAAGCATGCTTTTCATTCTATGAACATCTTTTTCGAGTTTTCATACACGCGAACATGATCCCCAAAATTTGTAACTACAAATTTTAATAAATCGGTGTGTTGTCAAAAAATGTGCACATTTAAGTACTACTACAATTTTTTTTAAATCTGTAAGATATTGATAGTAGATGGTATTGTTTAGGCTGTATGTCTTCACTTTGGAACATTACATCAGAATAAGTCAAATGATTCTATCTGCTCGTCGTTTCCAGTTATAAATTTGTTAAATAAATATGTGATCGTCTAATTGTATCTTTCCTTTTAACTCATCTTAACCTAAGGGTATAAAATGTCCGAATAAATATTTCCTTGTCAAACTGAGCTTCAAAAAAGAAATGAAAGAAATTTATTTCCGAAAATGAATATTTCTTACCCGAAGAGAAGTTGAAACTTCTCCTTGTACGCTGTCGGAAATGCCAGACGTCTGAATATGTCCCTAGAGAATAATATATAAAATATTATACAGTTTATATCTGGAAGAAATCTTGTTGATGTGAGTAGAGTAGCATAAATGCAGGGAAGAATGAGATGAAATTTATTTCTTGTTAAGAATTAAATTAAAATTGAATAAATAAATAAATGAATGACAGATGCGTCTGGCTGATGCGCATGATTACCATCTGATTCTAAATTGACGCTGCCAGATTGAGTTCTGAAAAAGGTTTGAGGAAATAAGTGTTTATTAATTTTGTTTGTCTTGCAAGTATTTATAATCATATTACATACAGAAGAATATGCTAAGGAATATTATATGAAATGGATTATAAATATTTCATAGAAGGAGGTTTAGTAAATAATAGGTTTTTATATCAAATCAGAAATGCAGAAACTAGAATATACATAAAGGCCATATATTTTTCTTTAATCCATGTAAATAAATTAGAGAAACAAGTAATCATTTTTGAAAAGAAACTGTTTATCTATAACAGTTCTACAATTTTCTAAGAGTTATTTTTGTGCTCCTCAATATTTCTATTTCTATTTTCCATTTCAAAGGGGAAGAATTAAATGAACTTCCAGCATTCTTAACTCAGAAACTGTTATTACCTTTTAAAAAAAACTAGTCTTTTAGTTTGAGTAATATAGCTGTAGATTATTTTAATTATCGAAATAAAATTAGTTTAAGCATGTTAAACTGGTTTTAATTATCAAAATCCAAAATTTCAGCGAAATTGGTTGAATAATTTTAGAGAAGTTCTAAAACTTATGTTTTAATATTCATTTTTAGTGTCTAGTCTTTTTTTTTTCAAAAGTATCTTAAAGAAAGTTTTCCAATCACCAAATTTGAGAATCATTTTATTGCAGGTGGATTTTTTCTGGCTCAATCGACATCAGCGTGCATTTGAGTGGTTTGTGAATTTGCTCAGTGAACTCGAAATAGAACAAGCTCAACTTGAGGAGAAAGACAGATTTCTGGATATCCACATGTATATAACATCGGCCTTACACCGGACAGATATGAAAGCAGTGGGTCTACAAATGGCATTGGATCTTCTTTATAAGAAAGAGAAAAGAGATCTTATCACAGGGTTAAAAAGCCGAACCCAACCTGGCAGGCCAGATTGGAACAAGGTTCTATTTTTCTAATTTCAATTTTAAATCACATATTTTACTGTAAAATTCGCTCATGAATTCATAAATCTTTAGCAATTTTACTCTATTTTAAGCATACATAACTTATAAAATTATGTTTTTATTTGTAGCAAAGTTCACCCAGTTGGTTGAACTTAAACTCCAAAGATCTAAATTATGTAATAAATCGAATAAAAATTGGAATGATAAATCTAATAAAAATTGAAATAATAAATCGAATAAAAATTATTTGTTAATGATTCCACCCAGAAATTCGCACCAAACTGTGCCCGATTTTAAGATGTATAGTTAATAATCCATTGCCCAATTTTTTCTTTCGAGAGCTTAAATAGATCAACATTACTCTAGTGGTAAGTAATAAACAACAGTATTCGCACAAGCATCGTAACTGTTTCTTTTCAGAGTAAATTTTTGTCTCGAACTTGGTTGCCATGAAAAAGTTTTAGCCGGCTTGTAATGTAATGAATTCTGTTTGTTTCTGTATGCAGAATAAAATCTCTCAGTTGTGCGTTTCCTGGAGTCCTAAAGCCGTTTCTTTTCCTATTGAACAAACTTAAAGTTATTTTTTATTAACTGTAAGTTCGGTTAACTGTTAACTTTGCTAGAAAGATCGTCTAAAAGAAAGATTGTCTACTGAAGATAAGGGGCAGTCAAACAGGTAATAAACCAGCGGTCCAAACGGTGAGGAGAGCAAGATATCTTCTACATGCCTTTAACTAAGAAAGTCAGTTTCAGATTTTCATGAACTTTGCTCTAACTATTAAGGCCTAATTGCGCTTTTAATAATAATCTGAAATTTAAATTCTTTCTTAAGATTGAAATTTCATAAAAAATTGAGTTTAATAATCTCTAAACTTAATAATATTAATAGCTGAATATTTTATTTCAGGTGTTTTCTTCAATTGCAGAGCAGCAGAAGGGAAAGGTGACAGTATTTTTTTGTGGGCCAAATCAACTAGCAAAAACATTGCAAACCAAATGTGATGAATTTGGATTCCGATTCAGAAAAGAAATTTTTTAGTGCGTTTATTTCGTTAAAATTTTAATGTTTTTACAATTTTCATCGAAATTATTTTTATAAAATAAATTACTGTTTTATTGTTCTATAAATGTGCCAATTATTATTTGCAATTTATAACATTTTCAATTTTCTAATTTCATTATTTAGTTTGAGTAACAAATTATCTGTTACATGAAGCAACTTTGCAGGATTATAGTTTTAAAAAAAATAGAAGTTTGGAAAGTTCGCAAAGAAAATGCCCTGATTTCTTCTGTCTAGTCTAGAAACTGTCTAAAAGCTGAAACTGAGCTGTGTGTCAGAGCCACCTATTACTGCACACATGCTTACACAAAAGTTTCCTTTTAAGTTCCTAAATAAAAAAAAACTATTTGAAATATTTTTTAGATATCCCACACTCTTTAAAATTTCGACTTTTTCAAGATTTTAACAAACATTTTACATTTTTGATGAACACAACGCTTTTTAAAAATCTTGACCCCTTAAAAGTTTCATTTTAATACCCTTAATATGAAATGAAAAATTATTGTATTCTGAACATTATTAAAAACCCACAATGACTTTGAATTTATAAAATAATGTTCTTTTATTTTACCAACAAGATGTTATCCGTTTTCATCAGTGTTTCGAAGCTAAAAGCACATGACCTCTCAAACATTTCCGTTACTAAACATTTTTGCTCCTAAGCCTTTATTAAAACTCTCAACCAGTTTTTATTAAAAACTAAATTTAAGTAAATGACCTTGTACCATTCGTTTTCTTTTTCTTGTAACTAGTTAATAAGTTATACGACAAACGTAAACTTAACATACATTCTAACTTTTTCTTTCGAAACGGGGAATACCTGAATTTGAAAATAATGTAATAGAGGAAATATGTCCTGAAATTGCTTTTGAATATTGAAAGCTACAAGTATGATTTATTAAAAGATGCCTTACATGATCAAAACACGGAAGTGTAGAAATTATGTCATATTTGTCATCTCTCAAGAACTCAGTGGCGGAAATCTACCGACATACGAAGATGTCATTAAATATTTTCTTTTTAAAGTTAGAGTCAAAAGCTAAAATATTTGTTTCACTAAGTAAAAAAGTGATCGTTGAAATAGAAAGAATAATACAGATATGTAAAGAAAGTGCAACAATCACGTGCATGTTATGTACACAGTGGGTCGTAAAGCGTCTTAAAAATTATTTTAAGAAATGAAATAATTTTAAGAAACCACGCAAGAAAAAATCCATTTCGAGAAACATACAAAGGTGATTTTCTATCAAATTACTGCCCAACACGAAAAAAGGTTATTGGTATCATTATTTTGCCAGACACTCAAATAAAATATGGTGAGACAAGAAATTACAAACCGAAGAAGGACGCCGCATTAAAAATGTTCAGGTGCCTCGTAGGAAAATCGATGGCATCTAAATTAGTGAAAAGGACATGCACAACACGGAATTCGAAGACCCAGGAGAAAGTGATAAAACTGTCATATTTTGAATGCATCCGAAAAGAAGAGATCCAGAACAGCAAAGCAGACATATTTAAAGAAGCTCTCAGATCACTTCCCGCAGCTCTAAAAGTGACTCAAACAGCAAGTTGCTTTGCCTCCTACTGCTTTAATAGTATCTGCTACTCTCACTGATTATGGTCTGATAGCAGAGGACAATGTGACCAAAGCTATTAAGCATCATAAACTCTATAAAGAAAAAAAAAGGCTAAAATTCTTCGAGGAAACTCCGAAGAAAATATAATTCAATATTTTGAAGGCCGGGAGGATTTAAATACGAAATATTGAAAAGGGGGAGAAAAAGAGGAGCAGAAAACTAATTGAACAACATTATGTAAAGTTGATAGAATTCGACGTCTACAAACATAATCACGTGATACCAGCTACAGAACATTCAGATTCCATTGCATCCAGTATTACTGATCACTTGACAGGAAAAAATGGTCAGAAAAATACTTGATATCAGTTGGTGCAATGGAACTGTAGTTAATACAGAATTAAGTATTAAGGTGTTAAAATTCTTGAGAAATATGTAAATAGTTGAGAAATATGTAAAATTTCATTGGTTCATATGCCGATTGCATGGAAAAGACATTCATCTTTTTCGACACCTGTATGGCATTATAGCATGCCCTGAAGCCTTCTCAGGACCTATAGAGTAGGGATGCGAAACTATGGAAGTTGTTGAATTTGAGAAAATATCTTAATCATTTTAACTTTGGAGCGAAAGGATCAAAGTACTAGTCAATTGTACTTAAAACATCTTAGTTAAGCAGTAGCCGGTGGAGCACAGTGCACACCTGAATAGTTTGGTTGTAAAAGATACGGTGAAATAAGCCATTCTTGGTGGCTCAAAAGTGCAAATCACGCATTATTGCATCAATCGCCTTCAAGATGACGAACTATATAAGAAACTATGAACTGTTGACGTATATGTTATAAAATTTTACTAAGTTGTATGATTCATAAACAAGGCCAGACCAAATCGAACTCAAGGAGCTTAGAATAAGTTCTTCGAGGTACTTTTCCGAGGATTTAAAATCTGCTATATCGACCTAGCCATCCAGTGTATGGCACACTTAGCCAGCACTGAAAACTTGCTGCTGATTATGATAAATGACAACCACAAACACGAAAGAACATTAACTTTCAAGAGAATTCTACGGAACAGAAATTCAACAAACAAGTGCAGCTCTACTTAATAATTTTTTGTTTCTCCTTCAGGAACTTGAAAGGAGGAACAGGAATTCCTCTTTTTCTCCGCAAACTTTATTTTAAAACCCGTGTTGAACAGATAAAATTTTGAGTTTGATTATCAATGTTTCAACTCCGTAGTCTTGTAATTTAGAACAACATTAAGAAAAAGCAAGGGAAATCTTGGATCAAGAATTTGAGTCGAATTAGTCTTCGTGGATAACTTTTTAATGGAACTAACCGCATTTGCGCTATATGGAGGGAAAAACCTCCCACAATTGGCCCGTCATCACTTTGTCGATGCGAGCCGAAAGTAGAATCCGGATCGACCAGTTATCATTGGATTCAAACCCGGTTCACCGTGCTGATCCCAAGTAGACTGATCGTAAAGACTTAGTTCACAGAAGAACATAGAAGTCAAGCATCTTGAATAGTGGTCAGTAAACGGGAGGGTGACCCCTCTAATGAGTCTATGATGGGAACCAGTGAACGGGGTTATTGGTCCTCGTTAAACTGTTCTAATATAAAGTGCCCGACTTCTCACAGATATATATCAAAATGGAGGAGTTTTCTCCTCTGCAAAGGATCAAAATAGTGATGCCGTGTGCTCGGATCATCCTACGGGGTGTTTCTCAGACCGTTGCCATTAGCCCATTGCTTAATTTAAATTTGCCATTGGACTTGCTTACATTAAAACTAAAATATAGCTCTTAAGCACTTTGCTTTTGAAAATATGTTGCATAATATACAATACATACCTTACACAGATTATCGATATTGCTGGCTATCTTAAATTAAACTAACGGTTTTCGAAAAATGTATATTAGTTGTACCGATAATTTTAAAATTTTTATTCTTGCAGCTTATAAATCTGACGGATTTGAAATTTCCTAATTGAACTTTTCTGGTGTTAGTTCAAAATGTTTCTACAAAAGGTGCTGCAGAAAAATAATTGAGTCTCATCTCAATTTCATTTTAATAAATCAAAATAGTACATTAATATTTTCAAAATATTTACCGTCAGCCGTAATCACTTGTCGTAATATTACACATGGTTTGATTCATAATTTTTCTTTGATTTATGGAATTAATATCCGCTAAACCATCTGTCAAAAAAAAAATTTGAGCTAACATCGGATACTTTGTAAAAATATATCATCCTATACATGAAGATATATATATAAAAACCTTAATCGTTTTCCAGTAAAAAAATTTTTTAAACCGTTAGCTTGTAGCCTGCGTACTGAAGCGTAGACGTAGCTAGTTTGAATCTGTGCTATCAAGGATGCATCTTCTATTGTCTTTCTCTAATTCGTGCAATCTGTTCTTTGTGTCTAGCCCTTTTTTAACATTTCTAATTAGTTTCCTGTATTGAGTACTCTAATCCATTTACGTGTGTAAATAAATAATGCTTGATTCAGAACACCCTGTTTGTAACTACTATGAATTAATGTATATAATTGAAGCGAAAATATACTATACATGTAAATGCAGAATTGTGTGCTCAATACGGTTTAAAAGTCCTTGTCGAGCTGAAAAATAGAACAAATTAGAGACTTATAACACCATGGATTTCAACGGGACTCGAACTCACATTCTTTGCGCTAAGAGCAACAGAATTACTGGGCTTGGAAGGCCCCATGGTTGTTTATTTATTGCTACACATACATATGCTGGCTTGTGTGCTCATTACAAAGATTACTTAAAAGCCCTTTTAAAATAGAAGAACAAATAACGCGATTTGTAGATGAACATCGCAATGACACTTTCAGATTTACTGTGTTTTTTCGAGCCCCCGTTAACTAGAGGTTATGAATCGCTTGACGAATCGACAAGGCAGCTCAATGGCCTTATCTCACTGGATACGATTTTATAACATCCGAACAAGAAACTGGACTGCCAGTTTCTCGAGGGTAAATATTTTCAAAAATCTGGTTCTCAGTCACATGCAATTTTTTCGCATGCAAAAAATAGCATCCAGCGAGAACGGTCCTTGCCAAAGAGGCCCTCATTTGTATATAGTTTATTTTTAACTTCTCATTTCTGTTCATTTTATGATTCAGTTTCTTTAAACTCTTAATTGCCACCGAGAGAAAAGAAATTTAATCGGTTTTGAGACACTAAACGAATTTGTGTTTTGCATTATACATCAGGGCCTTTCTAGTCAAGCTGTTTCTTTGTTCCACAAATGCTCTATAGCAAAGGTGTAGCGAGTTCGAAACCTGCCGCAATCCTTGTTATAACTTTTGCTCTCTGTTTTTTTAACTTAACAAGAACTTATAAGCCATTTTTTGAAATGTGCACCTAAGCCTCTATTTACGTAAGTAACAATAAATAAAAAAAGTATTTAACTATTGAAATTTAACTATTGAAAAAGGCATTGAGTTCTCAGGGACATTTTTATTTTATTTTATTTCAGTTCTTAGAGGCCTCTATTGCAGAACGGTCTTGCTGATCCACCAAACTCTAGAATGCGGAGGAAGCGGATTCGAACTTCGCCGTAACCCAGGATGTATATTTGTAATGTCTTTCTCGAATTTGTTTTTTATGTGCTTCTGTATGACAAGGGCTCACAAGCCGTCTTTTCAATGAGCACACAACCCTGCATATGTATGTGTAATAATAACGAAATAAATGTTAGCTCTAAGCTAGCTTTAGCTTTTGATGCAGAGTCGAAAGATATTGCGATATTTAAAAAATATTGGTGATTATAAATGAGATGGTACACAATAAATAAATAAGACTTCTATATCACGAATAATATTAGAAAAAATTATTAAAATTTACAGTTGTTTTTTTAACTCCTATACTTTTTTTCTATTAGAAAAAATTACAAGAAATATGAAAGAACGGAAAATTTTTCAACTCAATCATGTTTAAAAGCATAAAAGTGCTTATAACTTAAGATGTATTATTAAGATACGTATTTTTCATTTATTTTTTCTGCTCATCTTTTTAAAATACGAAAATCATCATTTTAATATTCCAAGACAGAATATTCCAAGATATTTTTATTCTAATATCTATTATGCCGAAATATACTTTATAATTAGTTTATAAAAATATTATGAAATTCAAAAATGAAACTTTTTTAAATTAGGGAAACATATTCTAATGAGTTAAATACTGTTGACACTCGATATGAGGACCCTTGTGGTCCAAGGAAATATGGGTATCAGAACGTAAAAATCGCAATAACGTAAGTACTCAAAACTATAGCAAATATTTGATCATAAATACTGGATTTTTCTCTAAAATATCCACTACCAATCTAATCAATGCAATTCCTTCAAACTTTTTAAATTCTTTTCTAAGCATATGGCTTTTTGCAAATTAAGTTGAGAGCAGACCTTTTTTTTTTCTAAATATACACCCAGAAAATTGAAAAATTTTACACAAAATAAAATCAAACGAATGTCAAATTTACTGCGAGGATTCAGCATTCTCATCTAATTCTCAATATTGGAAGATCCCGCAGTGGAATGGTACACACAGCAAAGTACTCCACGCCCGATACCGAGTTTTACCGTTGCCAAGAAACTGAAAAAGGGTGGTATCACAACGATCAGTATGATGCGTTCCGTTGACGCCAGTTCACCGGAGTCGCTGTTTAATGTGGTGTCGGGAACACAACAACAGGACAGATTCGCAATGGGGTCGAGTACTCCTCAAGAATGAGAGCCGATTTAGTCTTTCCAGTGATTCTGTACTCAAACGCATCTAGAGAGAGCTAGGAACAAGCAATGACCCCTCTATCATTATCGAAAGAGACTGATTTGGGGGAGGCGGAGTCCTTACATAGGGTGATATCATGCTTGGTACCCGTACTGATCTATTCATCTTCTAAGGTAGTTCAGTCACTGGTGCCCGCTTTACATATTTTTTTTTTTTTTTTTTTTTTTTTTTTNTTTTTTTTTTTTTTTTTTTTGTACTGAGGTTCTCCTTCCTCGTGCGCGTCTTTTTAGAGGTGTTGTGGGTTCTGAGTTCCTCTTTCTCTTCATGGACGATAATGCTACACCTCATCGTACAGTGGCTATCACAAAACTGTTGGAAGATAATGCACGCAGAAATGGCCGGTAAGATTCTCAGATATCAATCTTATTAAATGCGTGTAGGCCACTCTAGGGAAAGTCCCCAATCGCTAGTAACAATTCCGCATCTGCGATTAGCTCTACAACAGGAATGGGAAGCAATTCCTCAAGAGCTTCTTAACATTTTAAAGGCTGAAATTTTCTCGCCAATTCCGTGTAACATTGATGTTTTGGTCATTTGTACAATTGTGTCTAAGCATACATTTCAATAAAGTTCCTTATTAATAAGGAACTTTATTGAAATGTATGCTTCAAAATAAAAAATATTCAAACCTCAGAACAATTGTTCTGAGGTTTAAATATTTTTTTCTTTGCAAGTTGCTTACTTGCCCATATTCTTACATTTTGAGGATCCTATAGTATGATTTTTTCAATTTTCAACACTGTTCACACTTACATTTTAAAAACCACTTTGTCCTAAATTTCTGCACACCAGTGTATTAGGTTCTCCTCCTTTCTTGACGGCGATCAGAGTTACGTGAATCACATGCAGTGACAACCATTCCTCAAATTGAAAGAACGCATTAGCAGTAAATATTTCGATATTCTATTAGCTTTTAGCTTTAATGCTACAAATTAATTATTTGTGCCGTAGTCTGGCAACAATATTAAAGTAAACAATAAACAAAACATAAACTATAAAAATGAGGGATGAGATGTAAAAAGATTTATAAACTACTAAATTGATTTAATACACTGTTACTGGAATCTTATATCTTTCTTAATGTACTTCCTTTAATGTATTTCGATTAAATGCTCACACCATTGTAACCAGACAAGTACTTAAACACATAGTTTATGTTTCATGCTTGATATTTAAAGTATCTACATTTTTTTAATAATGATTTCTAGGTTATCCATTAGATTGGTAATTATTTTTAAATTAATATAATAAAACTAAAATCTCTCTGATTGTATTTATAGTAATTTTTTGTATAAAATAATGCTTATGATATTTAGTTTCTTTTTCAATATCGAAACATTATCCAAATTTTTAAACTTATTCACTTTTAAAAAATTAATGTAATTCGCAAAACAACTGTCATTGTGATATTATTTGGAAATATTTTTTTCTTTATTTCTCTTTAGAAAGGTCGTTACACTACGACAGCCAATTATTCTACTAATTTATCACCTTGCAACCTGCATTGTGTAATATTTTCCTGACGGAATTTAGAGTAAATTTTCCTCATCGGGCTTTATTTTTATGGTACTGTTAGAAAGCAATCTTTGTCATAAATTAACATTGCTACCAAATTATTGTTTAAAATTGTACTTTATATTTTATTTCCCTGAGACTTCTAATCTTATTTATAAAGATAACATATCTCGTTCAATTGTTGTGACGAGTTACGCTTTGTATATTTTTAATAAATTTCAGTTAACTGTTGTGTGTTGTAGTTTAAAATCTAATTATTGATTTCATTAGCATTAAACACATTTTTAAGTAAACCAATATGTTTTCTGCTTTGGAAATAATTTTATATTTAATAATAATTTCCTTAATCATTGTTCCAAAAAAAATTAAGTATTTTTACTAACGTTCCAAATGTTAAGCTTCTAAATTAAATTATTCAGAAATTTTTCTCCTACATTTTTACCATTCAATAACATGTAGAAATTAGTTTTTTGATGCTGGAAAATCTGCCTCTGAAAGTTCCAAAAAAGCTGAGACTAATGCTGAGAAGGTTTATGTATATCTTTCTTCTATTGGCAGTATATTTTATCCTATATTTTTAAAGAGCTTAATGGAGAATCTGAAATGTCATTTCGAAAATACTCGTCTATCTTGGAATGGCAAATAATTTATAGTTGCTTTTAATTACTGAACATCAATTTATTATGCCAAATTTTAAAATTAGATGACATTGAATTAAATTGGATGTTTTTGTAAGGAACTTTAACTTAATGTTCTATTACATTTTAGAATTAAATTTATCTTATAAAAATTATTATTAATCATGTCTCATCCATAATAGCTGAATATCTCCAAAAAAATTATTAGCATAGTCATTCATTCACCAAGTTCTTCATTAATCTAGTTAATTCCAATTTTTTATGTGTTTTCTTGTATTATTTTTACCACGAGCATTATTATTTTTTACCATGTTCACATCCTCCTTATACATGTTAAAAAATTTAGTTATATTTAAGCATTTAATCACTTAATAAATAAGTTTATCCAATATCTTATATAATCTTTACTTTTTAAAATAAGGTGTCCTGAAAAAAATAATTCTATATAAATTTTAAAACTAATCTTTATTTAAAATATTTTAAATGAATTTTATTTGTCAATCTCTAAAGTTTCTTTAAAATTTGTTTAAGAATGAGGAGTGACTATCAGAAGAGTTTAAAGTAAAATAGAATAATGTGCCATATTATTCTAAAATGCTGGAATGTGAACATAATAAAAACCAACTAGATGTCTTCTATATTGGAATTGCAACTTAGTATTTGCAAATGAGCATGATTTCTATCCAAAACAAAAATAAATATATATGTAAAAATTACAAACGTTTTGAAAGTAGAATAACTCTTTTGTAGATATCATATTTTCTGTTTTAAAGTACAAATTTTTAGTAATCAAATTATTTAGATTTCTTTCAATCATGTAGTGGTATATTAGACGATAATATAATGTACTTTTAATAACCTGTTTTTATTCCAGATTGAAAGACTCGGACTATATTCTAGCAAACAGCATTTTGTTACTTCTGCTTTTTCATTTAACAACATAAAAATGAATAAAGAAATGGCTGCTCACCAAGAATCATTGCCTAGGCTTCCAGTCCCACCTCTTCAAAAATCATTAGAAAAGTATTTATGGTCAGTTCGTCCATTTCTCTCAGACGAAGAATACCTTAATACCTCAAGAGTGAGTTTATTGCTTTCTATATTTTTAATAAAAGTTCTTGAAAAAATTTACTCTCTTAAATATAATACTTTTTTTATGGGAGAAAGATGTACAGTGCACCAAAAAAAGGACCACCCTGAATAACTTTTGGTCTAATGATCGAATCTTCATGTTCTATTACTCACTCTTTATGGTTCAAGTGGGTGACCTAAAATATGCTAATTAATAACTGCAAATGATATTTTTTTAAGTTATAAAATCACACACAGAAACGTACTTTCTTTGAATAAACATTCGGATTTCTGACCCCCAAAGTACAGTATTCTATTCACCTAATTTCTTTCCTTTTAAATATGGTTTGTTTTTCAGTTATTTAACTAATAAATTAATTAAATGTAAATTAAAAGAATATTAAAAGATTTTTTATGTTACATAAAATGTTAAGCAATTACCTTTTATTTTTATGATTGGATTATTAAAAAAATTTTAAAATTTAATTACATAGCAAAAATTTCAATCTCTAATCACAATAACCATGCATTATTACCAATATTTTTTTATCGTTAATCCACCAATAAACTCCCGTGTTTTATTTTCTGAAATATGATATATTTTCTGATATATAACAACAATTTAATCAATAATGTACTCTCCATTGTTTACGACTTCCTCCCAATGTTCGAGGAGTTTTCCGGTGCCTCTTCGGTAGAAATCACCCGGAAGCATCTTGAAAAAGTCGCCCGACCAAGCCCGTAATTCGACGTCATTATTGAACAAAACGCCATAGCATTTGAAAGCGATCGGAAGAGGTGAAAATCTGAATGCGCCAAGTCCGGATAATATGATGGATGTGGCAGCACTTCCCAGCCAAACATTTGAATAGCTTCCTTGGTCATATTGGCGATATGATGTTGGGCGTTGTCGTGTTAGAGAATAATGCCTTTTTGTCGATCGGATGTTTTTGTTGAGGCGGTGCATCTGTTGAACATAAGGCTCTGTGTTTACTGTTTGGTTCCTGTCAAGCAATTCATAGTGAATAATGCCTTCCCAGTCCAACCAGACACACACCATTGTCTTCCGAGGATGAAGATCTTGCTTCGCTCGCAGGGTCGCTTGTTTTTCCGGGCTTAACCATTCTTCGCGCAGTTTCATGTTGACGTACAAACACCATTTTCCATCACCAATAACGATGCAATAAAGGAATCTTTGCTTGTGTCCATGAATTGAGCGGTAACGGGCAAGCAAACTGGCAGCAGTAGTGGAACATTGATTTCTGTTGTTTACGCTCAAAGCACGAGGAAACCATGCGCCAAGTTTTTTAACCTGGCTCCCAGGTGTTGAACTATAGTCGATTAATCGCAATCCATTTTTTCCGCTAATTCTCTGGTTGTTTGACGTGTGTCTTCGTGCAGAAGTTGATTCAAACGCTCTTCATTGAACTCACTTGGTCATCCAGAACGAAGTGCGTCATTGAGGTCAAAATTGCCAGTTTTGAACTTCGTAAAAAAATCTTGAGCAGGTTCTGTTGGCTGTAGCACCATCTCCATACAAAGTCAAATCTCTCTAGCAGCATCTGTGACTTTGGCACGCCGATTAAACGCAAAAAGAAGGTGGTGTCAGAGATGCTCGTTTTTATCGACTTGACACTCCATTTAAATGCTCTAAAAAGTAACAAAATCTAATGTCAACAGGAAAAATAAATACACTATTTTATTGAGCAAAAAATTCTCTTTCGAATAACACAAAAAATTATGCCAAAAAAATTAATTTTCAACGGAAATTTTTTCAATTAAAAAAAAAAATGCAGGAACTTAAGCATCAACAAAATAGTTTGTATAAATTTATTTAAATGTTTATTTACTAGTGTGATTTTTATTTATTTCAGCAAATTATGCTTATTTTATATTATTTATTTTTATTTGGCTCTTTTTGATTTGTTTTATACTTCGGTTTGGAAATGAGCTTCATTTACTTATTAAAATTCTCATTTGATTATAGTAATTCTTATACTATTTGATATCTCTAGGTTAATACTTGACTTAGCTAGTTCATTGAAGTAATAATTTAAATGGATTTGTGATTTAAAAATTGTTGTCCTAAGTTAGGGGTGCAGAACCATTTTGAGTGAAGGGTCGCATGCCAAAGTATTTAGACATGTTGACAGTAATTGTAGGTAGTAATTGTTATAAAAACATCATTGTACTAGGCCCTGAATTCTTTTTATCAGTTAACCCTGAAATATATTGGCATAAAATTAAATACTTTTAAATGTTTAAAATTAGAACTTGAAAAACTGATTACTCAGAAAATAAAACAGAATCGGAATCAATTTATCAGAAGAAAAAAAATTCAGATGATTGAAATAATTAAAAGCAATGGGACAATTCATATTTTTTTATCACATTACATATTACAAAAATAATATTGAACATTTAGTAAGGCATCTACTTCAACTTTAAAATATTTATTTCAAATAAATTATAAGACGTCGGGACTGGGAGAGGAAAGAAAACGTTAATTTTGAAGGAACTATTTTCTTAATAATACAAAACTAATAAAATACTTGTTTGCAACTCTTTATGATCAAAACTTTTTTAACATAACACTATTTACAATTACTACACATATATTATCAATTAATTAAAGCTTACATTACTGATTTTTATCTTGATTTCATTTTTTTGCAGTTAAAATTTTATGATATACAAATTTTTTCCCAGCATATGATCATAAATTATACAAAATGGCCTACGTAGATAGAAAAAAGTTTAAAAATTTTCGTAATGATTATCCTTCAAATGGCAAAATTTTCAAATTTTATGATAGTTTTATCTATTTGATTATGTGATAGCTTTTTCAGGCCATTGAATGAAAATTTAATGATTTTGTTTAAAGACTGTTCCTTGATTTTGAACATACCAAATTCATTTTGAAAACAGCCTTTCGACAGAAGCCGTTGTTGTGGGCAGTATTTAACTTTAGGCAAGTAACTTGATAATTTGAAAATTTGTCCCAGGTGGTGTTTTTCTTTTCCTGATTTTTAAATCGCGTGAACACGAGTAACCAATGTGTGATTTTTAAATTGCATGAATAAAAGACGTAATAAGTGGTTTTTAAATTGCGTGAATATGAATTGAGATGTGTGATTTTTAAATTGAGAGAAGACTACAATCTATGATTTTTAAAGTGTGTGAATATGAATTGCGATATGTGGTTTTTAAATTATGTGAATATTAACGTCAAACGTGATAACTAACATTTGAAATTCGTGTATCATAAGAATGCTGTACTAAAAATATTGGTATTTTCAAAACCATGCATAAATCCGTAGTCTTAACCATTGAAAAAAAGCAATCGAAAAGCTGCATTGGTTGAGATTGGGTACATCAAAAACTTAAATGCTCAATTTCCAATTTCCAAATTATTTTTTTATTTTTGAAAAATAACTTTTATTGTTTTTTTTTTTTTTTTTTTTTTTTTTTTTTTTTTTTTTNTTTTTTTTTTTTTTTTTTTTTTTTCATTTTCTTCAGGTTGTGCACCCCTCATTCCTAGATTTAAAAACTGTAGATTTAACAGAAACCCTGTTCTTGTTTATTGTCTATCTAAACTAAACTCAGTGGCGTGGCAGCCCATAGAGGGCCAAGGCCTACTGTGCCCATCTCAATTTTCTTGACCTTGGGCTCTGGGGTGCAGGAGCAGATGTTCTGGTCAGGTGGTCAACCGAACGCGGAACTCCCAGTGTTTAGTTCCCAAGCATGCTTGGTACTCATTTATCGACCCACTGAAGGGATGAAAGGCTGAGTCAACCTTGCCTGGCCCGAGGATCGAACCCAGGACCTGGGGCACGGGAGCGCGAAGCACTACCACTCAGCCACCGGGCGTTGTTTATTGTCTATCAGTTTATTCAAATTCTAATAAACTCGAGACTCCCGAAATATCCCCTGGATTAATCCGCTGGAGAAACTCTCTAAATCGTATGTTAAGTCACTGTTGAGAATAAACTTTATATCACCGTTTATCTACCTTTTTTAGTGGTTGACAATGCATCCCTAGATAGATATCTGATTATGAGGCAAAATTAGGAAGTTTTGCTTATGACCAGTAGCCAGCTGTAGTATTTTTATCAGTGGCCTTTTTTTTTTCAAAAATAAATTTTTAAAAAAGCTGATGATATTAATAATGTTTGGCATTTTCTTTGAAACATTTCTCAAAATGTGTCAAACATTGGAACATTATTATTTTAAACGTTATTATGATTCATTTCTAAAATGAATAAAAAAATTTAAGAAACGTGCCTGAAATAAAGTAATTTTTAGACTATTATAAAATATTCCTAATAATTTCATTTTTAAAAAAAGTAAATAGAATGTAAATATGGGCTATTTCCAATTTAAAAGAGGTGATCAGTTGGTGATTCTCAGGCAGTTTTTTTACTTTCCATTTATTGTATTTAGTCGCTCTTCGACTGGTGGTGACTGTTAATTTTTTCCTTTAGTTGCCATCTTTAAAAATAAATCCCAGACTGTTGCCAATAACCCTAGTGTAGCTCTAGTACAACATAAACAACCAAAGCAGTTGTAACATCAGAATTTTTTTAATTTGTATTTCTTTTCTATTTTGCGTAAATTGTCTGCTATTAAAGTTAAGTTATTAATAGCAAGCATGATCAGCTTTAAGAGAGCTATTCTATATGTTTTGTTTTCCTTTCTCTTTTCTTTTAAGTATAAATAGTTCAGTTACCTTTACCTTTTTTACATTGTCTTTTTTTACGCCATGTCATACTGCTGGGGCAGCCATAACCCTTGAGTAGAGAAAGGGATTGCATCTGAATTCTAAGCGAAGTTATATGTGCAAATAAAAAAATACTGTTTGCTACATATACCTTTATACTATTTGTTGCAAACATGTTCTAAAGTATGCAATCGATTGCATGTGAAAGATTAATATTAATTTTTCCCATAAAATTGTAATAAACCTAACACTCAAAAGCATTTGGTCCATTGTTGCTATCATGTCTTCATTTGATAGAAAATGTCACAACTTACTAAAAATCTTACAATAATCTGCCATTTATAAATATCTAATTGTACTCAAATATAACTGTTAATAAAAATAATTTTTGTGTTAAAAATGTTTAGTTTCTGTTACATTTAGCGTTACTCGGTGTATTTGATTTTAATATTACTGTGATTTGGCCAGATAAGCTTACAGCACGTTTACTAGCATGGATAATTGTAATTTTTATGCTTTCATTAGATAGTGAAAGAATTTGGAGCACCTGGGGGCTTAGGTGAAAAGTTGCACGAAAAGCTGTCAGAAAAGGCCAGAACTACAGAAAATTGGGTAATTATAAAATCATTTTTATTTCTTCTACTTTTAATTACATTTTATATAATTTCTTTTAAAAGCATTTAACTTCTTTTTATTTTCACGTTTGAATTAAGTGAATAAACTTCTGTTTAGTGTTGGACATTCAACATTTTATTCTTACCTAAATCATTTATTATTTTTAATAACTTTGTATCAAAAGTAATAAATGATTATTTTTTAATTTAGTAAGAATCACACCTTTTCAGTCTTGTTTTAAGCCTTTTTAAAACTTTTTCTTATGTTTGGCATCTATAATTATATTGATGTTTGCTTGTCTTAAATTTTTTTCAGCAAGAGTTCATATTAATTGAAAACAAACTGCAGTATTCTTCCAAAAGGGATATAATATCATGTAACAAAATCTATATAATATATTTATTTACAAAATATCTGACTGCTATATTTTGTTTTCTGTGCTAGAATAAATATGAAGCAATAAGTTGTTAATTTTGTTATGCAATTATTAATTTTTATCTAAGTAGGTTACAATTAAGTTTATAATATTTATCGCTTAACATTAAGTATAAAAATATATTTATTCTTCATTTTATTGTTATTTTAGTAATGAAAACTAATAAATAACAGTTTATATTTTAAACTTTTATGTTTCTCGCATATACACTTTATAAAAAATATATATATAAATAGAACTTTTAATCATTTTGGTTATTTTCTTAATCCTAGTATAATAGGTTGAAATTTTTTGTCAAAATGTCATTTGGTGTAATATTAGGTGACATACATGCTAATATCAGAAAATTAATATTTTTTTACAGCCTAATGTTGACATCTGTAAGTAATGTTTTCTGTATTATGCTGTTGAAATGGTTGGGAAAATGCTTGAACATAATAGAAATATTTTAGAGATGAAAGTTTCAATTATATTTTAAAGCTGATATGAAGCAATCAAAATTTTTATTAATAAAATATTATACATTTTTAATAAAATATTTTTGTTATTGTATTTGAAGTTGTTATTAATTAAAATTGATTTGTTTAATTTTCTAAAATTTGCAGTCAAAACTAGTTCTTACACTAAACTTACTATAAAAATAATTCATGACTCATCTTACTTCAAAAATTATTCATAAATAATGTAATAATTCATGGTAATGTCTTGGTTAGTTTTACCGTTAATAGAGTGGATGCATTTCTCTTACTTGATAAATAAAATTATAATACTTACAAAATATAGCAAATGAACGATTTGTAGAAATCTTTTTTACATTAAAGATTGCCAAAAATATTTGTAGTATTTTAGAGTGGTTAATATTTATATAACTAATGGCTCAGATATAAAATGATGACTAAGTTTATGCTGGCCATTGGTCTTCACTGTCTCCTAAAACACTTGCACTGTTTCCACATAGTTTCAAGTTTATCTATCAAGTCTCAAGTATCGTATCAAAGCTCTGTAATCTGAAAAAAGTCAAGTGTGAAAGTCAAGAGTCAAAGGAGTCTCTTGTGGACCACTACTTTGAGACCAATGGCCTTTTGGATTCATAAACTATTTCTACAGCTGTTTCTCTCATTGTCTTTATTTTTTTTCTCTCTGTTTATTCTCTTTATATTTAATTGCTGCATTAGAAATATATATATATATATTTCAGTTGTCAGACTGGTGGCTTGATACAGCATACATGGAATATAGAATGCCTGTTGTTGTATATTCTAGTCCCGGTTTAGTAATGCCAATTAAAGAATTTGATTCAGTTGAAAGACAATTAAGGTAAGGATGTAACTTATTTATGTAAAAATATAAATATCTTTATTACTGCATTTTAAAATGCATGCAACATGGTTTCTGTAAAAATAACTTCCTAGTTTTTTTATATGATAATTTGTTGATGGAAATCCATTCAATAAATCGTTTTTATGTTGAGGAAAAATGCCGATAAAGAGTGTCTTTTTAAAAATTGTTAAATATTTATCTTCATTTTATCTGTAATAAAAAGTAAGAATATGTTTTTCTAATTTTAATAATTTCTGATGAGAAGGTTACAAAGCAGGTCACAGGAGCTAAATGACCCCCATTAAATGTTGTATTACAATTTAATTAAAGGTTGCTGTGAAATCAAATTGCCACTAGACAGAGAGAGAGACATCATTTGAAGATTAATTAAAAATAAATAAAAAATTACTATAAAAAATAATTCAGTTACAAAAAATGTGAATGCTTAAAAATTGAACAATTTTGTTTATGATTCAATGGTATATTTTAAGATGATTAGCTTAACAATGTTCATAGTTGTCCTAATATTCCAGGTTTTCTTGATAAAAAAAATATTTTGTCTTAACTTTTAGCATTTAGTCCTGATATTCCTGATTTTTGTGTTTTATAACATCTGTCCCAGTTTTCTACAAATACAATGGTTTTTAAATGTTTTCTTCAAATACAATGGTTAATAGTTTCTACATATGGTTTTTAAAATAACTAATGTGAAGAATCAAAAGATTTGGATATTTTATCCAGTATTTATTTTTTAATTAATAAGGCTTGTAAAATCGCTAAATTTCATAGTTTCGTATCCATTTTATCCAGAGTTAAAGCATTTTAACTATTTAGTAATTCATTGATTTTATGATAAAACTTTTTATTATGGTGATGAATCAAATTTTTATGAGAGATGATCCAATAAATTACTTTATTATAAAAATGTTAAGCGGCATACTTGTTAGGTTTTCGTTTTGAGATTATTAAAACCCTACGTTTAAATTATTCAATTAAGGAAATCATGTGCGAAATTACATATTTTGATTAAATATTTATATAAAAGAATAGTAACTCATTTTTACTGGGTTTTTTTTTAATGTAATAGTACGAGGCTTGTTTTTTAAGTAAGTACCATTTTGAAATTAGAAGAAGACGTGCAAAGATATCTCAATACTTTTATTTTAACATGAAAGCCTGTACCTTTATCTACTTTTCTACATAATTTCCTTCAACATTGAGGCACTTGTCATAACGTTGTACCAGTTTTTGAATACCCTCCTCATAGAAGTCTGCCGCCTGACTTCTTAACCACTACATCACAACTGTTTTGACTTCGTCATCGTCTTGAAGACGCTGACCACCCAGGTGTTTTTTCAAGTGCAGGAACAGATGGTAGTCACTGGGGGCTAGATCAGGGCTGTACGCAGGATGATCTAGAGTTTCCCATTGAAAAGATGTGATGAGATCTTTGGTCTGATTAGCCACATGCTGACGGGCATTGTCGTGCAGCAAATCGATGCCCTTCCTCAACTTGCCACGTCTTTTGTTCTGGATTGAGCGGCGCAGATTGTTCAATGTCTCACAATAAGCTGCTGCATTGATTGTCTCATTACGTGGCAGAAATTCCACAAGCAATACTCCTTTTCTGTCCCAAAAAACTGTGTACATGACTTTCCGAGCAGAAATCATTTGCTTAAACTTTACTTTTCTGGGTGAATCTGAATGCCGCCATTCCATGAACTGTTGCTTTGATTCTGGTGTGACGTAGGCCACCCATGTTTCATCGCCCGTAACAATTTGGCTTAAGAAATCATCACCGTCGTTGTGGTACCGTTCAAGGAAAGTCAATGCACTGCCTAAACGGTTGGTTTTGTGCACATCCGTCAACGTTTTTGGTACCCAACGTGAGCACAATTTTCGGTAAGTCAAGTGCTCGGTCAAAATGCTATACAAAACACTACGAGAAACATTAGGAAAGTCAAAACACAAGGAGGAAATCGTAAAGCGTCTGTTCTCTCTCACCTTATTGTCCACTTCCTGCACCAAACTTTCATTAACGACTGAAGGACGTCTACTCCGTTGTTCATCATGCACATTTGTGCGGCCTTCTTTAAATGCCCTCACCCACTTTCTTACCATTCCATCACTCATAATGTTTTGTCCATAAACTGCACAGATCTCACGATGAATATCGATCGGTTTTAGGCCTTTAGCACTAAGAAATCTTATAACAGCCCGTAGTTCACAGTCGGCGGGACTTACGATTATCGGAGGCATCTTAAACACTCAGTAAACAACGTAAACAAGGAAGAATCAGACTGCAATGGCGTAAGTGCGTGGGCAATAGATGTAGGTATCCAGTGCGCATGCGCAGAACGCCGACCGCAGCGCTGCGGCGGCGGTGCAGCAAAACGATACTTACTTAAAAAAACACGCCTCGTATATGCCATAAAAAGTTTTTATATAATGGTCTTAAACTGTTGTGATTTGTTCAGTACTCCATTAATAAAATTATGCTAGAACTACTAATACTTTTTATTCTAAACAAAGTTATTCTGAAATTGTAAAATAGTATATTTTATTATTCTTTTCTGATACAATTTGCCTTTGTTATATTTAAAAGCAAATTATATATTTTTAAAACTGGTGTCTTGATTTTTTCTTTGGCTAACTATATGTCCAGGGTTAATTATTCTCTTCTTTTATAAAATTTAACATCTTTTTTTATAAAATATATCTTAAATAATATTTTTTTTTATGTGAGAAGCAATTTTATTGGTAATTTATTCTATATTGTCTATAAATTATATATATTTAAATTATAAAGTTAATTTGATTATGGTAAAAATAAGTAAAATAACAAAAAAAATCCTTTTTCAAAATACAGGTTTCAATACAAAGGTTTTTCTTATGATTTATGTTAGTAAGCTGTATACAGAACAGAAGCTTTTTAATTACATTTTTAATTATAATATACATTTATTATGTTCAGCTGAGAAATATTTTTTCTGATGTTCATTTCTTTCTAAACTTTTCATAAAAGGTCATCCTTTATTACTTTATATTTAGTTAAATTATGGATATTTTTATGTCATTCATTTTATCTGTATTTTGTACTTTTTTTTCAGGTTTTCTGCAAGATTATTGGCTGGAGCTTTAGACTTCAAAAGTTTAATTGACAAGTAAGTTGCCAACTGCAAATTCATTTCAAAACCTCTTTTTAAACTTCCTTCTTTAATTATAAACTTTCTTAGTCGTATATGCTATGCTTCAATTATAATTATTATTCAATAATGATTATTAATGACATTTTTTATTATTGTTTTAAAATATTTGTTTCCAGAAAAATGCACCATATTTATTTGAATCATTATGCGCTACCTTTTACTTGCATTCTTAATAATAATTTTATACATAAAAATTTAATACTCAGCAATTTTATCATTGTCAAAACTAGAGAAAATGGGAAGTAAATTAGAAAATGTTTCTCCCAAATAATTGTAACTGACTTAATAATAAATAAATGACTTAAAATATACTTTAAAAATGCACTTAATATTTGAAGTATAAAATCAATTTGGACATGACCTTATGACTTATCCCTTTTGTTATTTTGTCAAACATTAGTGTGGGTAAAAAGAAAAACAAATTTTTAGACTGTTTTTAACCCTTGCCCTCCTAAGGGTATTTTATTTCTAGTACTCTAGAGCAGTGGTGCGCAAACTTTTTTCGACCACGACCCCTTTTGTAGAGAGAACATTTTTGGCGACCCCTAGAGATAAATGTTCACAAATACAATGTATATTTCGAGCATTTCTTTCGTTTCATCGAATAAAAACATCATCCTATTTGACTCATATTAATTTTATTTATAATTTTAAGAAAATACTTTTTGTATAACACAAAAATCAGTAAATTGCCCTTTAATGAGATGTATGTGGCTGCAAGTTTCTAATTATCTCGTCGATGTTTGGATGTATGTTGCTAATTGCAATTCACATATCATCTTCAGGTTTTAAACGCGAGTGGTATTTAGTTTTTATTCAAACTAGTTTGCTAAATCCAGTTTCACATAAATACGTTGATGCAAATTGTATTAACACTCTGATGGCATTCTTGCATAAAACGGGATATTGTTTTTCCACGGATAGCCAAAATGTTTGGCAAAGCTGAATCTTAAATTGATTTCGAAGAGTATAATCACTAATCAGATCTATCAATTGCTCTTTCTCACTAATTTGAAGCGTTGAACTGCATATGTCAAAGGAAAATGGATCACGAATTCAACCAAGATTGTTTTCAGGAAAATCCTCGAATCTTCTCGAAAATTTTTCTTTAACTTTTCAATGTGATTGGAAATGATGTTTTTAAATGTAAATATATCTATATTATTTTCCTTGATAAAATCGTTAAAGCAAGGAAACATGTCGGTGTTGTTTTTATTCAGTTCAGTTTGCCAGAGACTAAACTTATTCTTAAAAGCTTGAATTTTACTGGCTGTAGTTATGATAGTTGAATTCTCACTCTGCAAGCTCAAATTTAAGTCGTTAAGTTTTTCGAAAATATCAACTAAATAGCTCAGCTTCCCTAGCCAAACTTCATTGATATAATAACTTGCCAATCTATGTTTCTTTTCGATTTAGAACATGTACACTTCATTTCTCAAATCAAATATCCGTCGTAGTATTTTC